AGCGCTAAATATAAAATTTTACTACGTAAGCGCTTTTATACTCAAATCGACGCCTACGCGAGTAAAGGCTCTAAGATTACTATCCGAACCGCTAAAGTAGCTAACGAAGTATACTTAAATAGTAAAGAGGATAAAAATTTCGAATATTACATGGAAATTCTTAAGATAATTAAAATTATTAAAGAGGACATTACCAAATTTTATAAGAAGGCTAATAAACTTTCTAAAATTAATAATTAGATAACGAATAGCTCCTTAGCTAATATTAGAAATATATTAACGTTTTTAGGCTAAAGAAGGTTACGGTTATACCCCTATATTACGTTTACAATTTAAAGATCGAATTTAAATTAGGAGAATAACTATTATACTTTCTATCCCACTTATTTAATTTAAATAAATTAAACGTAATTAAAAAATAAATAGATAATAACCTTAAGAAGAATTTTATCTAGTTATTTTAATTAGAAGCCGTTTCTCCTATCCTTCTTATAAAGAAATTAAATAAAAGTGTACGTATTTACATTAATTACCAAAGAATTAATAACGTTATTTTTAAAAGTAAATACCCTTTCTTATTTATTAAGGAAACTTTAGACGCTATTTATAAAGTAAAAATCTTTATTAAATTAAATATTATCGCCGCTTTTAACTATATCTATATTATAGAGGAATACGAATAATTTACGGTATTTATTATACATTTTGGACTCTTTGAATCCCTAGTATACCTTTTTAAATTCTAAGGCGCCTCCAGTACCTTTTAGAACTACGTAAATAATATCCTATACATCATTTTCAATATATATATAACAGCGTATTTAAACGATATTCTAATTTTTTCCAATAATAAAGTAAAATACGAAAAGTATATTAACAACGTCCTAAAATAGTTAGTAAAAGCTAACCTACAAGTAAATATTAATAAGTACTAATTCTATATTAAGAAAACTAAATACATTAGGCTAATTATTATACTAAAAAGTATCGAAATAAATTTAGAGAAAATTAAAATTATTACGGACTAATAGCCCTCTACTTTTAAAAGTTTTTTATAGAATTTCTTAGGCTTTACCAATTTCTACCGTCGTTTTATTAAAGGATTCTCGTCGATAGTAATACTATTTTACAACTTTATAAAGAGGAATATAGAATAGGATTAGACTTCAATTTAATAAACTACTTTTGAAATTCTAAAACTAATCTTTAGTAGTAGACGTATTTTATATATATATAATTAGGTAAAGAAAATAGTCATTAAAACCGACGCTTCTAATTAGGCCTTTAGCGGCACCCTATCCTAATATAAGGATAACGGAATACTATACCCAATTACTTATTTCTTATTACAACATACTGCTTAGAAATATAATTACAATATCTATAATAAGGAATTGCTAATTATTATGAGAACTTTAGAAAAAGAGAAGCCCAAATTCGAGAGCGCTTAATAGCTATTTAATATTTTAACGGATTATAAAAATTTAAAGACTTTTATAGCGAATAAATAATTTACCGTATATTATATATAATAGTTTTAATTCCTATTTCACTTCGATTTTTTAATCCGTTATACTCCCGATTCGAAGAATCTACGTTTTAATACCCTGAATAGGAAGTCCGAAAATGTACTTCTAAATATAGAGGATTATTGTTTGAAAGTACGTAATTGTAATTTAATTAACCCGGTTAAATTCGAAGACAGGTATTTAGAAACCTTATTTAGTATTTCTGTTATAGCCTTAAACTTTAATAATAACGTTTTCCTATTCGCCCTCGACGTTTTAGAACAATTAAAATAGTTAATTAATAATATTATTAACGATAATTATACGAAGTTAACGTCTATATAAGAGGTAGTAGCCTATTTGCAGGATCTTAACCAATTAAAGTAGCAACTATATATTAGAAAGAAATTGAAAGTAGCTTTCGTGGAATACTCTATAATAGGAAATAAAGTTTACTATAGGGGGAGAATATTTGTTAATTTAAATAATACTACTACTTATTTATAATTAATTTATTGCGTTTACTCTTTATTAATAATAGGGTACACTAGTAGGGATAAGATTTGGGTATAGGTAAACGAATATTAGTATTAATTTAATATAATAAAGGCTATTAAAGCTTATTATAAGGGACACTTAGCTTATTCGAAGATAAAAGTATTACGGCGCGCTAAAGTTAGGTATTTAAAATTAATACTAATTACTTTCGTACTATAGTATAATATTACCGTCGATTACGTTTTACCTCTCCTAAAAAGTATTTATTTAGGTTAGAAATTTAAGTATATTATTATTATAAGAGATCGCATTATTAAAATACAATATTATATTACTACTAAAATTATAGAAGTAGAGGAATTCGCTGACTATTTTATCGATTGTATATATACCTTCTATAACCTTCCTAATTTATATTAATATTCTAGGCTACGATTTGTAGAAGATTAGCTATTAAGAGATTATTAAATTCCGCTTTCTACTCTTAAACGAATACTTATATAGAGTATATTAATATAGAAATAAAATAATATTTACGGATATTTATAAATTAGGTATAAACGGACTAGGCTCGCTAATTCCATTTAGCGGAATTTGCGGGTAATGATATAGTATTAGAAACTATAGGAATAACTCCGTTCTTTACTAACTATAGTTTCTACTTTCGGATAGGTATCGAATTATCTTCAATTACGACATTATAATTATTTCTGATTTAATAAAAGGAATATTTAAAAGCTAACGAACTATTAGCCTATTTCGAAACTATTTAGGACTACATTCGAATTTTAATTAAGAAAATATAAGACTACTACAAATTTAACGCTAATAAAAAACGTTCGGATATACCTAGATATTAAGCTAGGAACCTAATTATATTAAATACGATTAACCTTATTAATAGCCGCCTTTATAATAAATTTTACTTTTAGAAGGAGGGTCCTTTCAAAATTAATTAGGTAAAATTATACAATATTAAATTAATACTACCTATTAATATAAAATATTCGCTAATATTTTACATATTAATAATTAAATTTTTTAAGGAAGGATTATTTAATTAGGCCAATATCTAAGGAGACGTAAAGATTAACGAAGGTAGGGTAATAATACAGATTAATAATTATAAGGAAATTACGGAATAGGAATTAAATAAATTAGTATCCTATAGATAAAAGGGAAATAATTACTATTAATTCTATATAATCGTATAAATTTATTACAATCCAATTGAAGAACCGTTAACTAATATGATTAATATAAGGGAGGCTATTAAAACCTTTTATAGTAATTAGTTTAAAGTACCGATCCTATTTGAAATTTAATAATAATTAGAAATTAAAATTATATTATAAGAGAGGATTCTAGTACCCCGCCTAATTACTACCGCCCTAATACCCCATCCTACCACTATCGCTCTAATACCCCGGTCGCCGGCCTTAGCCCCGCGACCTATTATACCTACAGTACCGAAACGTTTTAAATATATTACAGACTTAAGGGAACAAATTAATTCGTTTGCGGAAAGAATTATAATCGGGCTCGGCCTATTAATTAGCCTGTTAATAGAAGAGAATCCTAATTAGTTTATAGAGGAATTATCGGCGGATAACATAAAAAAGATAGATGGTATTTTTAAGCTGATGTTTAGGAAATTATCGGAAATATATTAAAGAAGGAGGCTACTTATAAGGAATATAGTAGATAAATTGGAAGTAGGAATATATTAATAAGGAGACGATAATTGGAGATTAAGTAAAATTAAAAATATAAGGAGGATCTGGGAACTACGAATAGAGGAATTACTAATAGAGGAGTTCGAATAAACGTTTTAATTACAAATAAAAGAGTTTGAAGACGGAGATTAAGGGATAATCTATTGTTTTATTTATATATAGATTTTAAAGCTTTAGAGCTTCTTTTATAGGGAAGTAGTATTATAAAATTACCTATAACTGCCTTGCACATACACAGCTCCCACTATAGGTAATCGAACCTCGTACTATACTATTACTACTATTGGCCAATAGCACGTCACGTGCATGTTTACGTGCTCTGGTCCCAGCTCTAGGTATGGCCTTCGTGCCCTGCCCTATATCGCTAGACCTGCGCACACCTCTCTCCTTCTCTCCTCGTACAATTACGTATATCTAACCTACCCTCTAACCATCGCCTTGCCCTGTGATATAGAAGTAATAAAAGGAGTATAATAAAATAATTACGTTATTAAACTATAGAAGGCGCACGGCGTAATATATAATAATGATTAGAAATGCCTAGTATATTTATAGAGTAGATTTTTCGCTATAAATTAACCGTTTCTACCTATATTTATAGGAGAAGGATTGGCCCAATATATAAGGGTATTTATTATAAGTATAATAGCCGCTTATAGTAATCGCTAGCGTCAACGTTGTGCCTTTACCTTCTTTTTATAACGTTGAATGAAGGCGTTATATTGTATTATAATCGACGATTTTGTTAGTATAGTGGTTGTTGGGGGTATTACGTAGTTGCATTTAAACTGAAAAGGGGAAAAAGATTACATTTCTAGGTCGATTTAGAAGGGTTTTGTGCCCAGAATCGATCTAGAGCCAATTTAGAAGGATGTACGACATTTTATTGGCTGTTTCTCAATTGTGGGTATCGGAATTTCCAGGACTACATTTTGGTGCGATTTCTACCCGGAAATGTTCTTGGTGCTTCCAAACGGCCACCTGGAAATGGGAGCTGGAAACCTTCCAGGTCCCATTTCCGAGGCGCCAAACACGCCCTTACTGGTGGGTCGCGGCAGGGAAGGTACGTGTAGTGAGGTACCTTTGAGATGGAGAAGCTGCAGGGACGTCAAGGTTGCTAAACTGTGGCGGGGCACCACTTTTCAGCGCTGTCTAGATGTGGCTTACGCTCCCCTCTGGGCCCCTCCGGCTACGCTGCCCGCCCGCAATTCGTGGCTGAACCCCAAATTTTTTGGATAGCTCTCAGCTGGGCGCGATTGGGAGAGTCCGGCTCCCGAGCGCCCGTGTCCCCCGTCCCGAGTTGTCGCCCGGTGCCCTCCACTATCGCGAGTCCCGATCCCGACTCCCCCGCGCGCCAAATTCCCACACACCAAGCATAGTGACGGTCGCCCCTCCCCGTCCGGACACAACAAACGATAACCCCCCGGGATGGCTTCCTCCGCCAATGCGCTCCGGCTCGGTCTCCGGACATGCAGTCGCCAAACACAAACATCCAGTCTCCGCATCGCCACCATCCAGCGCCGGGCCCTCTCCGCCACCGCGACACGATGTGAAGGCGTCCCCGTACCAAAGAGGGAAGATGACGCCAAGCTCGAGTTCACCCGCCCCTACAACCCCGGCGAGTTCCTGTCCGAAAAGCTCAGGTCGGACGATCTTCAGGACTGGGAGCGCGAGCGCTACGAGCGCGCCCTCACCTCGTGGGAGCAGACGCCCGCCGACCTCAAGAGGGGGTGGTCGACCATGATCAGAGACATCGAGCAGGCGGCGGCGCCGCTAAGGAGGGTGGTCATGCCCAAGAGATCCACCTTCTGGTACGAGGAGGAGAAGGACACGGATATCATCACCAACGAGGACGGCGAGGACGACTTCCACGAGAACGACATTATGAGTCTGGGTCACGGCAAGCTGGAGGAGCACCGCGAGTTCCGCGAGTACGCGCGCATCGCCGTCTGGGAGATGCCGCTGCTGTCCAAGTACGCCAAGCCGTTCGTGCCGCCGACGAGCGAGGAGGCCCTGCGCTTCCGCTACACCACCTACATGGGCGAGTTCCACCCTGCCGACAGGAAGGTCGTGGTCGAGTTCTGCCCCAAGGATCTCCGAGATCTCACTGAGGTCCAGCAGCGCAAGCTTATGAAGCTGGCCGGACCCCGGTACAACCCCGAGAAGGATATTATCAAGATGAGCTGCGAGAAGTTCGAGCACCAGGCTCAGAACAAGCGCTATCTCGGCGATTTGATTGAGAAGATGATTGCTGCTGCCAAGGTACTGTTTCCATGCATTTCTTTGTTTTATACGGTGACTCCCAGAACCGTTGCTAATGTAACCCTCTTACTACTACTATAGGATCCTAAAGATACCTTTGAGGACATTCCTCTCGATACCCGTCATCACACGTTCTCCAAGAAGATCTCTTTCCCCAAGGAGTGGCTCCTCACCGAGGAGCGCAAGAAGGAGCTTGAAGCCGCCAGGCATCAGGCCCTCTTGAAGGATGCTGAGAAGGTTGTCCAAGGCGCCTTGGTGGATGGCGCTGATATTGTTAAGCAGTACCTGGAATCTGGCGCTGCTGAGGCTCTGCACGCCGTGCCTGTCATGGCGGGCCGCGGCGGCAAGGCTCTTCCCGGAGGCAAGGGTGGAAAGATGCAGCGCGCCAAGAGGTGAGGGCGATGATGAAGCAAGGAGGGGCAAGTGTGTGCTGAAAGAAAGAAACAAGCGAAAGGAGGGGGCGAAGCCAGGGAGGGCTGGGCTGGGAAAAGAAAAGGCAACCAGTTTATAACATGACTGTTGCTGGCTTCGCTCCCGCAAACCAAGTTTGTTTTAGCCAGTGAAGCTTCTGGGGCGGAAAGGGGAAGCTGGCTAGTGTATAAGAAATCTAGTGTACACCATCTGTCTGTATTAACATGTGAAGAAAGTCTGGCAGGTTCTGGCATGGACAAGGAGAGTGAGTTATGTCTGTTTGCAAATGCAGGCCCTTTGGTGAAGCTCACGTGAGGACGGATGTTCGAATACCCGCGCAACAAAGACGATCTGAAGCCCGATCAAATAGACTACATCGACTTCTTCAACCGAACCCTAATACCATAGCACATTTCCCTGTACTCTGAAATGACGGCCATCCAGTTCCTTCGCGCCAACATTGTCGCGCTTGTATCGGATAGCGGCAGATCTGCGGCATTCTTTAATTAGGGAGCGCGCGGTTAAAGCCAAGACTTTGTGGCTGTTTGCCATTGGGTTGGACAGCAACGCCAAAGAGGAACCTGGGACAAGCCACAACCACAGGACAATTCCCTTGTTGAACCAGAATGTACCTCGTTACATCTGGTGTTTGAGATCTATTGATAACCCGTTAAAAATGTTGGTCTTTTTTGCGACGATCATTCAGCTTGGGGATGAAAATTACGTATTCCACTTGAAAGTTACTGTAGAATGTGCCACGCGGGAGGAATGGAGGAAGCTTCTGTTCCGTCATCCGTAGAGGTGGCGTTATCTTTGATCGCCCGCTCAACACATGGAAGCTTTGTTTTGCCATGTGTGCTCAAGCTGATTACCTGTTTGAGGACTCGTCACTCCGCGTTTCAACTTTTTTCACGGTTTGGGTGGTTACACGCGTAATTCTTGGGTTGTACCCGGATCCGGTGCATCCTCCCTCAAGAGACTTGGTTGGAAGGTGACGCCGTTTCACACTTCGGAGCTTATACGCAGGGGGGAAGCTCGAAAAAGGTCTTGGGTGTCATGAGCCAATCACTAATATCCGGTTGAAGGAATTTGGTACCTGCACTAGCCAGGGTTGACTACAGGATATTGACTGTTGATGGAAACATATTAAGTATTATTCTGTAACCCCATTAAAGGCAACGTCAGTGCTTCCCCACAGCTGGATGGCCCGGCAACTCCACCAATTGATGATGTCGTTCCATGGCGTGCATGGGAATTCGACGATGCAGGGGTTGAAGGCAAGACGGTTGGCTGGGGGCCACGGTCGGTTGAGATCCAAGCCATTGGCGTCCACCTCGACGCCGCCTTGGCTTCGCATGATTGGCCCCTTCCGCCTTGGTTCCTGGCGTTCCTGGCGTTCCTGGCGACTGTCCCGGGCTTCCCTCGTCTCGACCCTTGCTTGCAGTCCATTCGCAGAATCTCATCTTCGGCCACTCTCTCTGCTCTGGCCCTGGGCTTCTCTCTTCCATCCCTTCTCACCAATCTCTGGCCCGGACTTGTGTGTCTTTTTCTGCTCTGGTCCGCCCTCCCCTGGCATTCCCTTACCACGTTCCTTCATATTTTTTTTCCAATCGTAGAAGGTCTTTGGATTTGGATACGCGCGAAGGGATTTGCCCAGTCTCTCATTTGATTTCCGTCTCTCTTGGATTCGAAGCCAGCGAGTCGCTTACAATAGCATTTCATCCCGTCTCCAATTCACCACACAATATACCCAACTACATACCTCGACCACAATAGCAATCGGGTCGACAATAACTTGCGACATCGCAAACACGCAAACCCACTTTTGACCTGGCGATCAAACGTCAATCCCACGGTCCCTTCTCCAGTCCTCGAAACTCGCGAGACCTGTCGATCCGGCCTCTGCCACCCAAACAGTGTCCATCACTGCCCATCACTTTGCCAATCGCTGGCCCCGTCCGCGCGCGCCCTCCGCAGTCTGCACCCCACGAACGAGTCAACGAGCAACAAGTCGACGAGTCAATCGTCGAACAAGTTGGACCCTCGAATTGCTTGCTTGCTTACCTGCTTGCCGCCCGCATGCTGGCTGACCCTCCCGATTCCGATTGCAAACGCACGCAAATCCTCGGCAGCGCTTCCACAACTCTGCGGCAATGCGATCCCAGCTGGAATAGGGCTTGACGGTTCCTCCATACAGCGAAGGAAACGACCCACTCATTTACCAACCAACTGCTTCTTCTTTCCTTACATCGATCATCCTTTCTTCTTCTTTCCCTCACCAACTTCGTCGTCGTCGTCGTTGACACCTTCATCGACGTCGCGACCCTGGAGTGTCTGACCCCTTCACAGAGGTAGGCACAGTCGATACCATCGCTGGACGAGGAACGACTTGTGCCGACGGCGGGTCCGGGAGCATTCATTATCTTCTTCACTCTTTTGAGTTCATCTCATTTGGTCTCGACTGTGTCGATTGACCTTACTCTTTTTTCTTTACTTACCCAACTAGGATTTCTTTTGGGCAGCTTTACTTGCCCCTCAACTTCTTGACAAGATGGGGTTCCTTGACTTGTTCCGGCGAAAGGTGACTGTCCAAATGGAATACAAGTGGGATTTTATCGTGAGTCTCCCTTACCCAAAAGCCAATGGTCTCTTGCACCCACTAACCGCCATCTAGACTCTTAATGACTTCAAGTCCACATCGGTCTTTACCCCTATAGCGTACGCCTACCTATGGGTTTCCATCTGTATCTCGTGCGCCGTCTACGCCGTCGACATTTTCACCATGGTTCAACTTTTGGCTTTCAAGAAGTGGTCTTCCCAGGTTCAACCAACCTCACTCATTCCTATCGACGTATCAAAGTGGATTTTCACCATCTGCATCATCCTTTCTGCTGTCAACCTCATATACGAGCATATTCGTGCCAACCGGGCTATGCGCACCGGAAGTGTCGCCGAATCGTTCCTTGATCACTTGGCCGCGAAACTCGAGAGTTTGCGGGTTTTTGGAGGAAAAGGATGGAAGCGATTCCTGGTTTTCGCCGCGTTGACCGAGAGTAAAAAGGGCGCTGAGTACATTGCCCTGTTCTGCTATTTCAACTTCCAATGTAAGTCTCCACTACCACATATCCCCCTCTGTCGCCGTTGACCCAAGTTATACTCACAAACGTGCTTATCAGCATGGATCCGTGTCCTTCTCTGTTCTGGACCTCGACAGGTTGTCAATGCATTCACTCTATACTCCTTTTTCACCAGTGAACTCCAGATAAACGGCAAGGATTTTGGAGACTCGGCAATGGATTTCTTCAGAAAGATCGAGGCTTTTGCTGAGAACGACTACCGCCAAGCTGCTACTCTATCCGGCATGTGCTTTACACTGGTCATCTGGATCTTTTCATTCTTGCAGCTGCTGCTCTCCGGAGTCTTTTTCGTTTGTTTCTTGTGGTGTTACATCCCTCGTGCGGATGGCGGCTTGACTGGATTCTGCGAGCGCAAGGTCAACAAGCGCTTAAAGCAGATTGTGTCGGCCAAGATCAACGCGGCAATGGCTGAGGAGGAAGAAAAGAGGAAGAAGGCGCAAATGAAAGCGGCCAAGAAGAAGGGCGAGGATAGGCCGATGACGATGAAGGCGACGCTACCGACGCTTCCGAACGTCGGCGTTAGCATTGAAAGCAGAACCGAGAAGTTGCCCGAAATGCCATCGCTCAGCAGGCAAGATACGATGGCTACACTTCCGGCCTACACATCCCGACCCTCTACCCCCGGAGGCTACGAGCTTGGTTCGATCGAGAAGCGACCGATGCCGCCGTCCCGTGCAGGGACTTTTGCAACGCAATTTTCGGGCGCCTCCAGTACGTCACTCATCGGTGCAGCTGCCGAGCCCGCTAGACAGCGCGCCAATGATGTCCCTACTGTTCCCAAGATCGATATGAACAATATCCCGCCGACAAGAACAGCAACCATGCTTTCGAAGAACAGCTATGGATCTGCGTCGCAGTCGAATTTCGAACCGCGTCCTCTTGGTAGGGCCGCTACTGGGCTTTCCAACTACGATACTGGATCGTCTCAGACAGACTTTCAACCTCGCCCTCCTAATAGAACGGCCACTGGGCTATCCAACGTCAGTTCTGCGCCTTCACAGCAACCGAGCTTCCAGCCACGGCCACTCACCAGAGCTGCGACTGGCATGTCTAACATTGGTCCTGGGCCTCAGTCACAGCTACAGCCGAATCAGCCTCGTCCTCTTACTCGGGCTGCGACTGGGCTGTCTAATACGAGCGCTGGACCACAATCGCAAGGGAACTATCCGCCCCCTAGGGCTGGAACAGTTCCACCTCAGAACAACTTTGGACCTGGCATGCAACAACCACCTCCTCCAAGGGCCGGAACAGCCCCTCCGAGGAATGATTTCGGACCTTCAATGCAACAGCCAAATTCCTCGTTCGGACCCGGTTACACTGATAGTCCCGCGACCTACTCGACCGCAACGATGCCCGCCTTCCAGCCACCCGCCAGGGCGCCGACTGCTCCGATGAGCTATTCTAACAATAACTACAGGGGCGTCGAGCCGAGACCGATCGAGCGTGCGTATACTGGTAACGTCGGAAACCAAAGTGAATACGACAATTTCTCGAGAGGTAACCAAGTACCTCAAACCAACAACCCCTATGGTGGTCTTAGTGGCCACATGTCGAACGGGTACGATCAGGATGGCTACGGCGGTGGTTATGGCCAGGATAATTATGGACAGGACACCTACGGACAACAAGGATATGGGCATGATGGCACCGGCCACGACAACTACGGACACGATAGCTATGGGTATCCGACGCAGAACAACTTACAGATGCCGCCAAGGCTAGGAAGCGCTCCACCGCCGCGGACGCACGACAGCTATGGGTATCCGACGCAGAACAACTCACAGATGCCGCCAAGGCTAGGAAGCGCTCCACCGCCGCGGACGCAACCCGGATACCAACCGTATATTCCCCAGAGGAACATGACCGCTCCGCCAGAGGGGCAGCCATACCATCACCATCAGCAGAATCCTAGCAAGAGTTCTCTGAGTAGTGTGGCTGAACTACCAGCTGAACTACCGGTCGAAACCCCGAGCGAACAGCACCCTCCCGCCAGAGCAGGAAGTGTCACATCGGATTATCTCGAGTATATGATGGACGGCTCACCCAGCTCGAGGAAGACGGATGCTCCTCCCAAGACGAGAAACGGGAGCGTAAGCAGCCAGGGTAGTGGTGCTGCTAACCAGGAAGCCAAGAGCAACGGGACGCACTCTAGGCAAGGAAGTGCCGATAGTGTTTCCAGGGCTGCTGGCGCTGGCACTAATAGCAGAAACAGCAGCAGGAAGGGGAGCGTGGCTTCTTCCGTTGGCAGCAGCGGCCCTCATCAAAGGCAAGGCAGCGCCGGCAGTGTTGCGTCTACTGCTTCTTCTCGCCGGGATCCGGAGACTACTGCTGCTCATGCCAGGCAAGCCAGCAGCGATAGAGTCGCCGCCACCCCAACTCCCGCCAGCCGTGAGGACTACTTCGCCAACAACGCCCTCGCCCGACAAGCAAGCAACGCTGCCACGTCTTCCAGAGATAATCTCGCTGGCAGCAATAACGATGCCAGGCCAGGGAGCAGTAACAGCCGTGCCACGTCGCAGCCGCAGGAGGAAGACGAAGAAGATGATTACTTCGGCATCAACCGCGCTCTCTCCCAGCGCCAGCAGAAAGGCGGTGCTTCAGCTGACCGCGAGGTCGACAACGACGCCGAAGACTACTTTGGCCCCACCACTTTCGGCAACACCATCATGCGGACAAACACGGCTCCCATTGCTCTAGACAGCAACAGTGATGGTGGTATAAGGCCGATAGCAAGGACGGCTACTGCTCCTCCTTCCCTTCAGCAGCAGCAGCAGCAACCGCAGCAACAACAACAGTACCTCCCACAGCACCGAGAGCAGGATGAGGCTGAGGACTATTTCAGCCAGCCTAGCTACAACAACAGTCATCCTACCTACAACAATTACAACAACAATGTCAACAGCTACAACAACAGAAACAACAACGCTACCAATACTACGAGTGGCAATAACAACAATAACCATAACAATAACGGATGGAACGAGGACATCGAGCGAGGAGAAAGGAGCATGGACATGAGGCAGAACCAGATACCCCGCAACAATGGAGGGCAAGGAGGATACGGAGGATACGGACAAGGAGGAGGATATGGAGGACGAGGAGGCGGAGGAGGAGGAGGAGATTATGACTATGACGGTAGTGGTTACGGTGGTAGCAGGTGGTAGTGTGTCCTGCCACAGTCCAAGCTATCTTACGCCCAGCCCAACTGTCTAAACCAGACATTACTTTTTACAGTATGTCTAGGTTGGTAATCGGCAATTACGAATAACAGCAACACTTTGTGTATCTTTTTTCTTTTCTACATAAACCTCGTTGGTTTTATTAGTTTATGATAGGCACGCAAAATACCCCCGTTTCTTTGTGTTTACCCATTGCACAACAGTCTCAAAATCAAAAACAGCGAACCGAAGGCGGGTGTAGTGATGTAATAATGTCTTCTTATGAAAGCATACCAATGCAAAACTACCCGATACTGGCTTTAGCTAAAAATGTAGCCTGTCCCGATCCCATTCCCCTTTTCTTCCCCTCTATGAATGATGAATACCAATGCTAGTTTGTCCCTTCCGTTTAACCTGACCATAATGCCTGGGGCGAGTGTTCCCAGCAAGTTATTATTACAATTACACGTTTCCCTGTCTCAATCGGCCTCTCACACACACTACCAAGTCGAGAGTCGTTTACTTCCCCTCCAAACAATCCGTAATCTCCTTCTTATACTTCTCCTTCACCGCTCTCCTATTGACCTTCTGCGTAGCAGTAACCAGCCCCTATCAAACTCCGTTAGCATGACTATCCTCATAAATCATTTCACCACGGGAAAGAAAAAGATACTCACATTAACCGGCGTCCACTCATCATCCACCAACACCACGCCCGCCACCGTCTCCATTCCACTCAACCCGGCCCTCCTCCCTACACTCTGCAACTCCTTGAGCACCGCATCCCTCAACTTCCTATTTCTATGCATCTCGGACGGCGCCTCCGCGTCAAGTCCCAACTCCCTCGCCTTTTCGCTTAATGCCTTCTCATTAGGCACCACCACCGCAATCGGCCTCGGATTGGCACTATCACCATGCACCATGATATTCTGCACAAACACGGCGCCCCTATACACAGCCTCTAGTTTTTCGAGGGCTATGTACTCGCCGCCCTGGAGCTTGACGAGGTTTTTCACGCGGTCAATTACCCGCAAATGGCCGTTGGCGTCGATCTCGCCGATGTCGCCGGTTTTGAACCAGCCGTCCGGGGTGATGGCTTTGGCGGTTTCTTCGGGGTTTTCGTAGTACTCTTTTATGACGCAGGCGCCGCGGAAGAGGATTTCTCCTTGGGGCGGGGTGGTGTCGGTGTGGTAGTTGAGTTCGGGGATGGAAACGAGTTTCATCTCGATGGCGGCGGGTGTGGCGCCGATGGCGGTGGAGGTCCATTGCATGGGAGAGCCGAGGGCGCCGTTGCCGCAGGTTTCGGTCAGGCCATATCCGTTTAGCATGGGCGCGACCACCATGGACATGAAGTGCTGCGTGGAGGCGGCGATGCCGCTTGCGCCGTTGACAATGAAGCGCAGGTCGCCGCCCGTCATGGTGCGGACCTGGCCAAAGACGAGATCGTCGAAGATGGTCTGTCCGGGCAGGTTGTTGGAGACGAGGAAGGACTTGATGTTGTAGGCACCCCAGAACAGGGCCTTGGTGAGGGCGCCGGCGCTGTTGACCTTGCCCTCGACGCCCTTCTTGACGGTTTCCCAGACCTGCGGGACGCCGACCATGATGGTGGGCTTGAAGGCGCGCATGTCGCCCGGGCAGTTTCGCATGCTGGTGTCGGAAAGGGTACGCGGGCTAGAGTACCCGAGGGTTCCGCCAACGAAGACGCCGAGGTTCTCGAGCACGAGCTCGAAGATGTGGGCGAGCGGGAGGTAGGCGAGAACTCGGTCGCGGTGGGTGACGGATTCCTCCATAACGGCGTAGAGACCGGCTACGGCGGCGACAAAGCCGGCGTGGCTGACGGGAACGCCCTTCGGCGGGCCGGTGCTGCCGGAGGTGTACATGATGCAGTAGGTATCCTCGGGGCTGGGGGGCGTCAGTGGTACGGGGTTTTCTTCGCCGAGAGCGCGAAGCTCCTCGAAAGAGTGGACGGTGAGGTCCGGGTGTTCGGCCTTGAAGGCATCAATCTTGTCTTGGGATACGGGCTGCGTGGTGTGGTTGTTGTAGATGACGACCTTGACGGATGTGGCCTTCTTGAGTGGGTTCGTAGCTGTCTTGAGAAGGTGAGGGTCGGTGAACATGGCGCTCGCCTTGCTCTGGATAAGGGAGTGTTCGACGCCGCTCTCACCGAGGGTGTCGTAGGCGGTAACGATGGTGAGAGACTGGGACGAGGCAGCATGCGACATGCCGAGCCATTGGGGGCTGTAGTGTACGGAAGGACAGCATTAGCAAAGTTCCAAATAGGAGATGGATACAAGTCGATTACCTTGTGGTAGCAAAGATGTGTAATCTGTCCTTGGGTTCCAAGCCGAGCTTGCGAAGACCAGCGCCTATCTGCTTCACAATGGTAAAGTATTCGCCATAGGTGATGTAGGAATACGGAGTAAGCTCAAAGTATTGCCATTCCTTGTCCACCATGACGGTCTCGCCGTCAACGACCTTGGGGACCTTCTTTATGTCCTTGTGAAGCTTGATCAGCTTGCGGCTTCCTATGGCGCGCTCATCACCGTAGAGCTCGACGGTTCTAGTGAGAAGGTCTAGAGTGGTGTTGACTCCGGGGGCAGGACGAGTAATGAGGCCATCCTTAGCCTTGGGGTGTCGGCGCGGAATGGTCTCGCCAGGGATGGGTTGGGCATTGGGATCCTCGACGGTAAAGGGAGGTTTCTGAATGAAGTGCAGAGGCACGTTTCCGGGGCCTGTGTTCGCCATGATAGTCAAGTTGTGTAATGGTCTCGTGGGGTCGAGTAGTCCGGGCCAGAGGAGGTGTTGACGGAGGGTATTATAGAGATAGGTCAGGTCGGGTTGGGCCGAGGCTTGTGGGAGTGTCAATCAAAACGGAACTGGGAGCCGCTCAAGGATTGTCGTTGGGTTGGGTTTGGGAATAGTAGTGGCTCGCCCGCTAGTCAGATGGTCGGTTTTGAAGACCTGACGAGTACCAGGTAGAGGAGGTAGAAGAGGTAGACGTCGGCCGGAGTTTCACGATAACGTGAATTAGGGAGTGGAGAGTGTTCAGGGTCTTGTCTGGGTATGTGACGTCGCTTTTGCATGCAAGAGCTCCAGCTCCAGTGGGGCTCCACAGCCCAAAGTGCGGACGGGATTGTCACGAGCTTCAAACTGTCAGTGGGTACCACTAAAACGGGGGCTGTCAGCAGCTTGGCACTAACAGACTAACAGGGGTCCATAACTTTAAATTCGTTCCTGAGGTGTTCCATTCCGAGCTGCCGAGGCATCTTCAACCGAGAACATCCACATCAACTTCGTTCCTTGTTTAGGAAGGAGAGACGGCGAGCGCGAAGCGGAAACATGTGATGTCTGAAAAATTTCGAATTGAGGCCCGACGGGCAGTATATCTTGGCAAGAAACACAATAGGCGGGCCGAAGAGAACTGTTTGGACAGGCTGGAGTTTTGACCTTTCTCAATCCCAATTGCACCAAAAGCCGGATGCTTGGTAGGGTTTATGTTACACAACAAAGCTGCTACTTTTGTTGAGACGTCTCCAAACTGATCAACACCAGTTACCAAATATATGGATTACAAGAGTGTGCTGTGCCCGGAAACATGACCGCCTGTGTCTTCCAATTGGACACCACTCTGATGTTGTTACTCGTGGGTGTTGAGGTGGCTTACTTAACACCTACGGGTATCATCTAGAGGTACATGTCCAAGTCCATCACGAAAACCATGTAGTCCCTCCTCACATCCAAGTCATAGGTCTCTCCGTTCAGCTACGGTTCATGTAATACTCATCCCAATAATACGCGTCCCAATCTTCCTGGCCCTCGAACCAGCCTTCCGGGAGAAAAGGGACGAAAGGTTGCAAAGTATCGGGGTTGATGAAGGCTCCATTGGCCCTATACCTCGCCCATCGTTCCGCCTTGACCGCGGCATCATTCTCAGCTGCTGTCACCCTTCGCCCGTTTTTAGGATCGATGAGCAAGAGCTTATCGATGTCGCAGGGGAAACCGTGCTCTTCGTGCGCATCTTCCCAGCACTCTATCGCCCGCCGGGAGTCTTCCAGACAGACGACGTGGATCTCTTCAGCATTGGCAAACCACCCAATTTCTCCATCGTACCAGCGGCCGTGCCAGAGCTCGCAATGGCTCTCCCGCGCGAGTTTCAACCGCTTGATTTCCAGGTAATAGGGCTCATATGCGTAGAACATGCCTTCACCGATGTCGATCATGTCCACGTCGAAATTCACCCAGATGTAGCGCGGTTCGTTGTCTAGGCCCAGCTTGAGCCGGAGTTTGGGCTCCAGCCACAGTTCAGGTGGCAGTTCTGGTTGCATCCCTTTCTCCCAGTCCTTATAAGGAAAATCACTGGGAACCGCCCGCGGCGCTGTCTGGCGGAAGACCTGCCTGTAGGTGTAATGCGCCGAGTTTTGGCGTCCATGTCTCGTGAGGTGGCTCCGCGCTTCTCGACAGGCCTGTAAAGGGGCAGGCACTGGGGTAGATGAGTAAAAGTTATGAACTTTGATCCCGAACCGATCTTTCAGATTGCGTAAATTGTATTTGGCCGCCAGTTCGTCGGTCAGCCTGGTATGCTGGGTTTTACTCCGGACCTCAACCTCGCGAGGCTCGACGGTCAGCACCCATATCCGGGATCGAATCTCCCATGGCAGGTGGGGGAAGAGGTGGAAGGTGGTGACCATCGTGTGGTGATCAGCAGATCAGGCCTGCTGCTGAGGTCCACTGGATCGTAGCACCCTGTCGGCCGCGCCAGGCTTTGTTGTCTAAGTTGTTTTCTGGTCTCGGGACGAAAAAGCTGGAAAGTGGTGATGCGTGATCCGGTGGTGTTAAGTTCTGGGGGGGGCACGCCAAGACCATCACCGTGACAGTGACCGGGTGACTCTTCGGCGAATATCCAAAGAGGAGGTGTATAGAATATAGTCGTCAAAGGGGTGGTATTTACTCCATTGTCTCACCTGTTGATATTACGGAATTACCCGACAGGCTTAGGGCCATGACCAATCGAGAGTAGCAAGCCGAGGTTGTCTCTTTCTGTTGGTGCTGGGGTGTGTGCTGGTGGCGCCGCGACAAACGGCCGTGCAAAATGTCGGACAATAAACCGGCCGGCGTCCAGCGTCCAGTGTCCAGCAACTCGCCAGTTTGAAGCACAAGGTCGACGCACTGGTAGGTATGTTTCCAAGAGGCTGGAGGCTCAAGAATGGAGAGCTGGTGGCTCTAGATGTGCGGATGTTGCCGGAGGCAGTGAGAGGTCTGGGTCAGGAAGAGGGAATACATCAGAAGGGAAGTAGGAAGAGACTCGACGGTAGCAGCAGGTACACATTAATCTTGAGGGTAACTCGATAAAAAGAACAGCACGAAGCATGGGAATGATGGGCTGCGTTGGATGCTTGTCGGAAGAATCCAGGAGAGAGAATGCCCCGCCTGGTTGGGAATAAATACAGTAGTTGGTAGAGGGTGGGTGACGACTGACGACTGCCACACTCGATGAGAAAAAAAAAAAAAAAAAAAAAAAAAGAACTACCCCAGAAGATAACAGAGACAAGAAGGGCAAAAAAGACATACAACACCAGGGATTCGCTGGTCGTCACCGACCCAACTACTAATCTGGCCCTCACTGGCTTATCTATGGGAGAGCGGACGGGATCCCGAGTTTTCCAGTGGGTATGGTCGTATGTGATATAAATCAGATATTCGCATGTATTTTATTCGCGCCTTCTCTTTTGTGAATGCTGATTAAGGTATGCTTCGGCCACCCGTCAACCGTGTGACTGTATTATGAACTCAAAGCAGAATTTGGCGGGATCCCACGATAAAGCAATATTAAACGGGGATATCATTGCCGATTATCGTAGGAAAGCGTTTCCGGCTTTTTCCACGGGCGATCTTACTTCTTCTCCACATCATCTTCCCTCTCCCTCTTGCGTCCGCCGCCACCACTTCCGGCAGCATCAGCACCTCCTCCCAGAAGCTCCTCGCCCAACCCTTCCAAGAAGTTATCCGCCATCTTCTTCGCTCTCCTCTCCTTAATCTCCTTTCTCCTCTCTTCAATCTCTTGCTTCCTCTTCTCCAATATTTCCTCCCGCTCCCTCCTCTTCTCCTCCGTCTTCTTACGTTCTTCCTCCAGCGCCCTCATTTCCTCCTCTCTCTTCTTCTCATCCTTGCTGAACTGGAAAAATCCCGTGCCCTTGGTGCGAATCTCCCAGTTCGCGTCGTAATGAGTCGGCGGAGGCGGCGTCGCGCTCCGGTCGCGCTTGGCGGCTAGCTCATTGATAGTCTCCAACCGGTCCGCAGTCACAGTAGCGGCGAAGGCCTCCGTCTGGATGGTGTCGCCGACGATCAGCTGCTCGGGCTCGGCAGGGCGGGCGGACATTTGCGTGAGTTCGGCGGCGGAGGAGCGGGAGCGCTCCAGTTTGGCCTTTTGGGCGGGCGTGATGAGGCGGGTGCGGCCAAAGTCGTCGGTGTACTCTATTAGTTGTTCCTTTTCTTCTTCGGACTCTTCGTCCTCTGATGAAGATGACACCTCGCCGGTGTGGCCTGTTTTCTTCTCCTGCTCCTCTGCCCATTTCCGATCAAAGTCGACCAAGCCGATTTCCTTGCCAATGTAATCCCCGCGTTGCATGGCGGCATAAAGACGGGCCTTGTGCTCCATGTTGCGGCGGGCGCGTTCAAGCTCCCTTTTTTCATCTTCGGTACCCACGGGCGCTTTGAGCGTCAGCTTGCCGTCTCTGTCCTCGTTAACGGTCTTGGCGCCAGGCCTGGTCTTCTTTTTCACTCCGGAAAAGATGTCCTTGCCAGCTTTAGAGGGTCGCGCACGACCGGTTGTGGCTGTTGTGCTGGCAGTGATGGCGGTGGCAGGTGATGATGTTGATGACGATGAGGACGCGGCGAGGAGTGAACTAAGTTGGGAAGTGAAGGTTAGAGAACCAGAAAGATTCAACTCCTTCTTTTGTTTCTTGGGCGCTGGTTGCCCATAGAGATTCGGATCTTGCAAAGGCATCGCCGTGTTGATGAGAAGATATCTGAAAGCCGAAGCCTTGTTCCAAGGCTGCCCGTGCGAATGTTTATTCAAGCAATTTGTTGAAATGAAAATCACTAAGACCTCGATTCCTCCGATTCGCAGTTTCAGGTTTATGAGCTCTGGTACCTAGGATTTGCGTGTGGACGTGATTAAGTTTCGAACTGCAGTGTCTTTGTGAAAGGCGAAGTTTGTGAGCCGTGGTCCAGGCTTCCGAGAAGATAGAAGCTCACAGCACTGAGGCTCTACACAGTAATGAATTGTTAGTGGAGCGCGTTATCTCCGTGGAATCTGGGGTTGTACGCACTGTAAGCGCCGGCAGGATGCTGCGGGACCCTTTTCAATTCAGACTGTGTGACGCCAGTGAAAGATATCATACACACTCATGTAAATTACGTTATCGATAAGGGCGGCTTCCCCTGTGGCCCAGTCAAAGCAGCGGCAATTTGCTACTAGCCAGCACCCAAGCGGCCTGAGTGTGACGTGGAGGGGGAAAAGGGCGTCATGATTGTTTTCTGGATGAACCACTCATCGTCCCCTCCACCCGTAACGATCGAGCGGTGCCAGACTGCCAGTGGTGGCCCGCCCCTGAAATGTCAAACTCAAATGCTTCCACATTCCGAGAAGCCGTCATGGAAGTTCCCCCGACGGGCCGTACCCCATGGTGTCCCACCTTTTCAGTCATGGACTTCCATGCCTTTGACCTTGGGTGCCCCGAGTGCCTGGTACTGTAGCTTGTAGCCCAACTTAACCTTATCTCCTTCGATCTCCTTTTCTGATCACAACCTCAACACGCCTCCTTCTCCCCCTCCTTTAACTTCATTTATTTCATGTTCCACAGCAGCCACGTTCCGTTTTTCCTGCTTGTGACACCTTGATACCCGGCACTTGTTATCTACAATATCAAACTTTCCCCCGTCCTCCTCCATCGCTCTTTCCGGTGCTCGTTGGCTGTTTTCGATAAGCGACACTGATCTGCAACAAACAACGGAAGCTTCCACTTATCGCTCTTCCTCATTGACCTCTGCTCACCTCATATCGGCGTTGGGTTCCTGGAGGAAGTTTATCCCGTCCTCCAAGCGCCCCTCCAAGCGCCGTGTCACGATATAACCAGCTTCGAATTCAACCCGAACTGTTAGACAAGGCAGCCACCCGACACTTACACCACTTTGTCTTCCCATCGTTAATCCATCCGGCGTGCTGTGCCTCCTTGACCAACCTTCAGCCCGGACAACAACGACAACGACCGCAACAACAAAAGCCAGAGACTTATATATATCCTACAGCTGCGGACACTTCGGAGCCTCTAATAGCTGCATCCATTTGCAGCTTGCATCAAGAAAGATCTCCATCAAACGTATCATTACTCCAATTTCGGCTGCTGTCCGCGTCCTCGGCTTTAGGTTCTGGACTTTGGTCACCTAACCCAGCAGTTGCAATAGGATGACAGTGACGGCGACGGACAGGAGACAGGACGGACTCGAACTTTTTACAGCAGCACGCCACCTTCCTCGACATCTGCACGGCACGCTGTCGGTTTTTTTCACCCCATCAACTCCTTCGAAAATCGGCCGGTTCAGATCTTAGACATCACGCTCTCTCTGGACATAGACCAGACGAATCGAAAGGCTTCTGCCAACCGACCGTCGCTTCGCTTTTCGAAAACACACGGAGACACAACCCCCATCTCCAATCAGCAAAAATGTCCGAATCCGACTTTGCAAGCTGGTACAGCTGGATCACTGGAGCCAGCCTGCTCCCAGCAGAGTATAGCCACGGTTTGGAAATACTAACTGGAATTTTTGTATGTTTGCTTCCTTCTACCTTCCATCCGATCTCACGAAGTTGGGCAGGTCATTGAATCACATGCTAATCCTAACCGTGAACCAGAAAACGCTGGCGCTAGCCCCCATCCTCCCCATCATCGCATTGGTTGTGTATGATTTCACCCTCTGGATGTGGAGGCTCCTCGTCATCGGCAGAAACCCGCAGCGAGAAGCTATCGAGTACATGACGGGGGGCAGTGTCGCAGCTAGCCCGAGTGGCAGTTCACCTGCAACGCCTTCGCACATTGGTTCGCCGACTAAAGGATCGCTATCACCGACAAGGAACAATTCGTCGACCTACAAGGACGCAGCGATAAAGGGCACCACGACAGGCTTGGCGATGAATGGTTCTACACCGATTGTGCTAAGGAATGGGGGTGATGGTGGAGATGTCAAGGTTACACAGGAAGGAGTGGGATCGCGACCATGATGGATGGAACATCCGCGCAGGCATGGACGGAGGAATAAGTGGTGTTATCAAACAGCCTGGTACACAGAACAGCGCAACAAGAACCCAAAAAAAATCGTTATTTATTCATCATTAACTTGCGGACGCTTCGGGGGATAAGCGCTTGTTTATAGCTGAGCAAGCACCTTGAGGAGATCGCTGGTGACGCCCATGGCGGTAACATCGCCTCCGGCACCGGCGCCCTGGATGATGAGGGGGTTGCTTCCATATCGCTTAGTGTAGAAGCTAATGATGTTGTCACTGCCCTTGAGCGCCGCGATGGGGTGAGAGAGGTCAAACTTCTCCAGCCCGACCTTGACCTGCTTGCTGGCCACGTCGATGCTGCCGACGAAGCGCACAACCTTGCCCTCCTTCTGCGCCTCGGCCTTGACCTCCTCCATCTGGGCGTCAAACTCGGGCAGGCGGGTGAGGAACTCGTCGCCGCTGGCAACCGACTCGAGCTCCTTGGGGATCAGGCTCTGCACGGGGAAGGACGTGGGCGACTCCACCTCGAGGCCGGCGTAGCGGGCCAGAATGGTCAGCTTGCGCGCAACGTCGAGACCGTTGAGGTCGTCGCGCGGGTCGGGCTCCGTGTAGCCGAGCTCCTTGGCCTTGGCCACCTCGGCGGACCACTTGCCGCCGCCCGCGCCCGATGTCGGAGCGAACGAGTTGAAGAGGAAGGACATGGTGCCGCTGAAGACGCCCTCGATCTTGGTCACCTCGTCGCCCGTCTCGACCAGGTCCTTGATGGTGGAGATGACGGGCAGGCCGGCGCCGCACGAGGCCTCATGGTACAGCAGCGCGCCGCCCTCCTCCTTGGCGGCGAAGATGTCCTGCCACAGCTTGTACGAGCCCGAGAAGGCCTTCTTGTTGGGCGTCACGATGCTGATGCCGCGGCGGAGGAAGCTGGGGTAGGCATCGGCGATGTCCTGAGAGCTGGTGTTGTCGACGAGAACCGTCTTGGTGCCCGAGGCGGCGAGGTAGTCGACAAGCTTGGGGAGGGCGAGGGGAGCCTGCGAGGACGAGGAGAGGGTCGAGACGACGCTGTCGAGGGCGATGGGCGAGTACGAGTCGCTGTAGACGGCCTTTTTGCTGGTGGCAATGTAGGTGAGCACCAGCTTCTGGTTCTGGCGGCGAGCGGCCAGCCACTCGAGCTGGGAGAGGAAGCACTTTCCTACTCCGCCGGCACCTGGAAGATGGGGAAGTCAAGGTTAGCTGCGAGGGACGTTGGAGGGCCTGTGATATTTTGGCGCGAATTGGTGCAATTGCTTACCGATGATGGCAATGTTAACTTGACGAGCTGAGGCCATCGTGTCTATGTAATATTGATTACGTAGTATAAGAGGGATGAAACGGTCAAGTAAGGTACCTCTAGATTAGCTTGAATGGAAATAGAGTTGACGACCCTGACTCAACTGATGACTGATACCGTAATCTCGTGGGGTCCTTGGGTAAACATGTCGCCATGCGGGCTGCCGATAGCGGGGCCGCCGTCCGACTCCAGGAGCTTCGGGAGCTTCATCCTTGTAACATCTGGCTTGGAGAGTGGCGTTTGTAACGGTATGTATGGCATAGGGTACTCGAAAGTTACTCCATCAGTAACTGTACAGTATCTTACGAGAAGTGGATTGTGAATCTTGCAATGGACACTGTGCCCGCTCCCGCTTTTCCACTGCAGGAACGCCCCTGTGGGCTTTTTTGCAGCGACACGGGAACCATGGCTTCCAGATTTGCTTCGTTACCGGGGATGAAACTTTTGTGAGAGTCGATTTTGGAGTCGCTCTCAGTCTCACAAGTTTTTTGTTGGATCCAACTGACTTATTGACTGCACCACACACCACATACAAACATCAATACCACATAAACCTGGCCGACACACTTTTATCCAACAACAAAAATATCCAACTCAGCAGTCATCATGTCCGAACCCAAGAACAAGCGTCAAAAGCGCGAGGACTACCGTGCCGCCCTCCGCGCCAATGGAGTCACTGAGCTGCCGCGCAAGAAGTTCTACCGTCAGAGGGCTCATGCCAACCCTTTCTCTGATCACTCTTTGATCTAGTAAGATGGCTTCCATGTGTCGAGATACCTTTTCCTTGCTCTTGAACTAACGACGACCTAGCCCCCCTACGCCAGAGCAGATGGACTGGGCTTCTCTCTACCCTCACTATGCAGTTGAAGAGCCTATTGAGCAAAAGACTGAGGCAACTGAGTCTGAGGAAACCACGGGACAAGAGTTGTCGGCTCCTGCCATCAGAAAGTTGACCAAGAATGTTGAGGTGGCAGATATCGGCTGCGGTTTCGGTGGTCTGCTCATAGCTCTGGCTCCCGTACTTCCCGAGACTCTTGTTCTAGGTAAGAGTGTTTGGCACCATTTACTTGATCGATAATACGCTGACTGTGTGAACCCAGGCTTGGAGATCCGTGTCTCGGTAACACAGTTCGTGGAAGACAGAATCAAAGCCCTGCGTGTGCAAAACGAGGAACAAAAGCTGTACCGCAACATCGCCGTACTGCGCGCCAACACGATGAAGTTTATGCCCAACTTTTTCAACAAGGGCCAACTGAACAAGATCTTCATCTGCTTCCCGGACCCGCACTTCAAGGCGCGCAAGCACAAGCAGAGAATCGTTTCCACGACGCTCAACTCAGAGTACGCGTACGTGCTGCGCCCCGGCGGCATTGTATATACCATCACGGACGTGCCTGACCTGCACGAGTGGATGGTTGGACACTTCAACGCGCACCCGGCCTTTGAAAGGGTGTCGGAAGAGGAGCAGGAGGCTGATCCGCTGGTTGAGATTATGCGCAACGAGACGGAGGAGGGAAAGAAGGTGACGAGGCATAATGGGCAGAAGCATGTTGCCCTGTTCAGGAGACTGGAGGATCCTCAGTGGCCGGAGGAGGTTTCTGCTTGAGCGCACTCTGGGAACAGGGAAAGGAGGCTATAGATGTGACAAAATGCACAATGTTGATGATACCCACGTCCCTTTGGTTCCTACAAGAGCAAAACACCTGGATGCGGGCCCCTATATGGTGATGGTGAAGCGGCATGTCTTTACAGTAAAATGACCCCAACTGACCCCCACTCGGGTTACGGACAAGAGATATGAAACTTTACGCGTAAAATACAGCAAGTTCAACGGTGGTGTAACGGTGCCCACCGTGGCTGCCGTGGACCCCTGAAGAACCCTCTTGGCCATCTGGCATCGCACGACTGGCGTCACTAACGCGGTTTAGCTTGGCGGCGGTAATGGACCCGCTGGTTAGTGTTAGCGTCCAGTTACTAAACAGCCCACGAACAACTATGGCCCAACCCCCCGCCTGCCTCACCCGCGACCGACACCGAACCACTTCCAGATCGAGCTGGCGATAAAACCATGCGGCGACGACAAGCGCCAAATGTCTGCGCTGGAGTATGGCAATGGCTCTTCGAGGGAGAGACATAGCCCTTGCTGCGATTGCTGCTTTCATTGCCTGGGGATATGCCGTCCATTGGTTCCCCGCCATCCGCTGGGCTAACTACGCCTTTGCCGCCGGCGTCCTCGTTACTCTCGTCGGCCTGCTCGCCTTGCTCGTGCTTACCTCTCGTGGACCACATCACCGCCGACTGCGCCGATCACCACGGCCCCATGGCGCCGCCTTCATTGCCCCGGGCGTTTGGACGAAGGAGGTGGCCGCTCTCCGGGCACGCCAGACGCCCACCAAAGCACCGCTCTATCCCGAGTCGCCCAAAGTCTCGGCAGCTCTCGACGAGGTTCTGGGCTACGTCGTCCGCGATTTCATACAAGTTTGGTATTCGAGCATCAGCAAGAATCCCGTCTTTGCGGATGAGGTGGACAAGGCAATACGGGGCGCCATCTTGACCGTCCGGGACCGCCTTGCGCAGCTAGACCTCGCTACCATCCTGACCACCCGTTTGGTGCCCATCCTGACAGCTCATTTCCGCGATGTGTACGAGGCCGAGAAGTCGGTCAGGGGGCGCAAACTGAATCGATCAGTCACAGAGACGGATGAGCTGGACCTGGCGATTGCTTCCAAATACAGAGATGGCAAGCTCCATCCCGCCGCCACCCTGTCTTTTTCCGACACCAAGACGACTCAGCAAGACTACCTCCGAAAGGTCATGTTGAGGATTCTTCCCAAGATCCTCCCCAAGAGCATGTTGGCTTCCGGCGCCGTTTCAGCCATTGTCCGCGAGATCACCGCCTGCGCCGTCATGTTCCCCATCATGCAGATGCTTTCCGATCCCGATACCTGGAATCAGCTGATGGAGAACTACGGGAGGAGTATGCTTCAGGATCGTTCGACGGTCCGCAAGCTTCGGGCGGCTCTTGACCAGCACGCTTCGCCAGCACCAAGGGTCAGCAAACTTGTAGCATTTCCTCGAATGATTCCTGGCGATAATGAGAGGAAGTTCGAAAAGTTCATCCGTGCCATCCGGAAAACCAACAACCTCTCGGATGCGAGGCGGTTCCGGAGCGAAGTTGCTATCCAGCTCAAGCGAGATTCTCAGCAGGAAAATGTCGACCAGGTTTACTTGCGTCGTCTTGAGATGGGAAAGAGGTTGCTCGATCAAAAGGTCCATCATTTGGCAGCCGGTGGGGATCGGCGGGCTCTCCCGCTACCAAATACGCCTTTGCCAACACCAACTGTGTCTCGCCTGGAGAATGCTTCCCTGACGGATGTCTTGCGTGATCCCTCCAGTTTGTCCTATTTTATGGAGTACATGGATAGGCAACGCCTCATGCCCTTGGTTCAGTTCTGGCTTGTTGTGGACGGGTTCCGTAATCCGCTCGAGGACGACGGGCCAGAAGGAGAACAGCTTCCGTTGAAGCTTCCACCCTGGACCGACTCAGACCGCTTGGACCTCGCTCAGATTGAGGCTGCGTATCTCTCGAGGCCTGAGCTCAAAGTACCGGACTCGTCCAAGCGGACTATTCAGGAGTTTCTGAGAGCAGGAAGAAGAGCCTCGCCTGAACAATATTATAAGGCACGGAGGGCTGTCCTACGCGCTCAAAGCGCAGTGCTGGAGGAAATGAAGGCCAAGCATTTGGGGAACTTCAAAAAGTCTGACTTGTTTTACAAAGCGCTGGCTTCCGAGGAGGCATCAAAGAGCATGGTAGCACCAGTTTCTGGATCATCAACGCCCGGGCCTTCAATGGCCAGAGCATCCTCATTTACCTCCTCCAAGCCAAATCCGCAACTACGCATGGCTCTTCGTCTCCCTCCGGGTGCCCGCAACAGGGGCGCCGGGTCAACTCTTGACCTACGGGCAGGGGCGCAAAGCATAGATGCTCTAATGGGGACTCGTCGGTCTATGGAAGACGATTCCCCCGCGCCTATGTTTGACGACGATGATCTGGGCGAGGATGGCTTGGCCGATTCGGTACAAAGCCTCGAGCAGGAGCCGGCAGCGCCGGTCCCAGATACTCGTGTCGTTCAGGCGATGGAGCAGGCTCTAAATAATATTATGGAGGACAGCCAGCCGCCAACGGCAGAGGATCTGCGTGCATCTCTCTTTGGTGACGACGGGAACAACTCAAGTCTTTTTGCGTCTCCGCCAAGTTCCGGGCCTATAAGAGCAATGTCTGCTACACCACGTTCCAATCATGGCTCCGTTGATCTGGGACGACCCAGTAGGGGTTCTGCTGACATGCCGAGACCGATGACAGCGAAAGAGCCGGAGAAGCCCAGCTTGGCATCCCTGGGTCTTGTGAGCGCTGCGTCTCGTATAGGCGTCTTTATCGACGACGATCTGTTTGCAGACGAGAACAGGTTTCTGTCGGATGAGCATGAATATTCTGACGAGAACAAGGATGATGACGAGATTGACGAAGTTCATGAGGCAGCGCCTGGTGACCTGGGGCTAGCGGAGGCAATCACCGTTCTCAGCAATGATATCGATCGCCTGGTCGCTCAAGATGCTGTCGTGGACTCTCTGCTAAAGAAGGCTGAACTGACAAATAACACGGCCGAGCTAAGGATCCTTCGAAAGTCGAAAGCAAGCTTACAAAGAGAAATCAGAAGGAAGGAGTTGCAACGACAGCAATATGTCATTCAGGAGAGTGATAATAGTCTTTATGGCCGGTCCACGATCAAGATTAAGAATATTCATGTCGGCCGAGAGGAGGATGGGAAAGAGTTCGCCATGTACGCCATTGAGGTGCTGCGGAATGCTGGAGAAAAGATGCCAGCGGCGATATGGACCGTCACTCGTCGTTACAGCGAGTTCCTCGAGCTCCATCAAAAACTGCGATCACAGTATCCGTCTGTTCGCAACCTGGACTTCCCTCGGCGGCGCATGGTGATGAAGCTACAAAACGACTTTCTGCAGAAGCGCCGCGTCGCACTTGAAAAATATCTCAACCAACTTCTTCTCCTCCCCGATGTCTGCCACAGCCGGGAACTCCGAACGTTTCTCTCCCAAAGCGCCATCACGCCCGCCACAGCCACCCAGGGCCAAACCTCGTCACCAGAAGACAGCAAAAAGGACATGATGACTCGCCTCTACGACTCGGTCGCCGACGGCATGGAGGACATCCTCGGCAACATCCCCGTGCTCGACCAGCTCTCGCTAGCCGGGCAGAACCTCCTGGCCGCAGCCACCAACCAACAACTGGCGGCCGCCAGCGCAGCCGGGGCCGGGGACGACGTAGTCACGGCCGCCGAGGCCGAGGCCGAGCTGAACGCGTTCGAGCTCACCAACGACAAGGAACTCGAGCCCTTCGTCAAGCCCATCTGCGACATCTTCCTCGAGGTATTCGAGCTGAACCGCGGTAACAACTGGCTGCGCGGCCGGGCCGTCGTCGTGGTACTGCACCAGCTCCTGGGCGGCACGATCGAGCGCAAGCTGCGCGACAACGTCAGGATGTTGGTGGCCGAGGACGCGCTGCTGCGGTATATTGGTCTTGTCAAGGACGGCATGTGGCCCGGCGGCGAGCTGCCCAATAACAAAACGCCGAGGACGGCGCAGGAGAAGGCACGCACAAAAACGGAGGCTAGTCTCATGCTCGCGACGCTGGTGCCGGATTTGGCGGCGAGTGTGGTGGGACGGCTCAATGCGCAGGCGGCGAGCAGGAGGATTTTTGCGACGTTTAACAATGAGCGGTTGAAGTAAGTTCTTGCTACCCCTAACCTTCATTTTGCTTGATGGATGAAAGTTGATGAACTAACTTGACGTCTTTTTTTTTGTCTCACGTAGTGCACATTTGGCGTTCACCTTCTTAGACGAGATCATCGATATCCTGTTTGGTGAAAACCAGGGCAGGAAGCAGCAGCAGTCAGGGGGGTAGGTCATTAGAAAACAAGCAGGACAAGCAGGCAGTCGATCATGAAAGACAGACAGAGACAGACAGAGACAGACAGAGACAGAGACAGAGAGACATGAGTGGCATAAGGTTGAATGCCCCCCTACATGAACCAGCAGTAATGGTATCAGATCAACAGATTCAACAACCCTAGAGAATAGAGACAGAAGTAAATACAGAGCATATTTGTTGTGCAAATCATATCATACATGATAGCTTTGACAATGGTGATGCGGTGGTGGTGGTGCGTGGTGGTGACTTATAAACGTGTTTACACAGCGTGATGCTTCAACTAACTACCTACACCCCCTTGAGTTTCGATCGTTGATAAACACAATTTGCGCACCCTCCAATCACATACGACCATAGATGGTAGAAAACTCGGGATTCCGTCCGCTCTCCCATAGATAAGCTACCAATCGGAAGCTTGTCTATGGGAGGAATTTTTTGTAGTTTTTAACAGGGGTTTGGATGACTCAGCCAAAAACGCCGCCGCCGTTTCTCGAAACGTTTTCATTGCCTTCGCCATCGAGTGCACCGTTCCACTTACGCCAAGCCCAGCTGAGTGGGCTAGGCATACACTACACAAGGTGCTTACCCCTGCCATTTACCCCTGACGCCTATTCCATATACTTGGTACATCTAACTGGAAGGTGTGGTTGGCATTTGGTACATCTAAGTGGGAGGTGTGGTTGGCTTTGGTGAACACTTTTCTCCGTACGTATATCCTTTCAGGCGAGTCAGAAGGGCCTCAAGATATAAATTGCGTCTTTACCCTCAGATTCCCGACCGAACCAAACAAGCACACTTTTGTCCCATTCTCATTGCATTCACTGTATATCCATTCTTCCCAGTTGATTCTACCGCATGAATTACGGCCCCTACGTTGCGAGGGTTGCGTTGGTTTTTCATATGAAACCCTCCTTCCGAGTTTTCTAATGAATTTCTCCTCCCAAACATACTGAGCTCTTTAGCTATTGCAGCTTGAGAGGGTATTGTTTGAGTCTCACGGTGCCGATCACACTCCATCCATATGCAATACGGAAGGGATGGAGCTACAAAAACCGCCGATACCGCCGACTGTACCCGACGACGAAGAACGGAAAAGAAGAGCATTTGCCGACGTCGACGAATTTACGGTAACAACACATGAGCGTTCGCTTTGTAAGAAGACCAAAGCCGAGCGAGAACGCGCGTGGCGTCTATGGAATAGGTATGTACCTTATCATTTTGCTGCTTTCTTTAATATTGCGTACTAACGCTTTTTAGATTTGTCACAGATGTGTTACAATTAACACAACAAGAGGCTGATAAGATTTGGTTTGGCGTGTGCCAAAACAAGAAAAAGTCCATTGCTATCTGCAAGAGCTTTCTGGCTGACTATACACGCTATGCAAGATGCAGGCGTCTGTATATAGACGGTACCGAGGAACAGAAGCAGGTACCAACAGTTCAATCAGTAGTGACTATTATTGCTTTATGGAAGCATATAGTAGCTCAAGCTGATGCTGTAGTGCTCGCGAAGAGAAGGGATCAAGATTCAAACGAAGATTCAGACGAAGATTCCGAACAATGGACATTGCTTAACAACCGTGGCAAGGCCCGTAGAGAGATTATCCAGGTAGATTTCCTCCTTACCCATACCGATACTGTGTACTGACATTTCTTCTCACAGTGGATCCAATCAACTCTTGCACAAAAGTTCAACCTTTCATGCAAACAAACATTTGAGAAAACCGAAGCCACAACAGACGATGTTCTGCTTATTCTTAGCACTTTGTGGGAACGCGCAGTCGATATACCTTGTGATCCTAGACATCGGCTTGCCTTTCATACATTGGTGCTTATAGGAAGCATTGGCTTTCGGCCCGGCACTTATGAGAACATGCTTTATTGACAAGTCAAGCTACTTGTCGTTCGCGATCCGGATACAAAGCAGCCAAGGCTTGTTGCTGAGATCACGATCAATCAAAACAAGCTATCGGCTAACAAAATTGATAAGGGGGCAGATGTGTATGTATTCTTGCCTTTAACCGTTGATCCAAACTAACACTTTTCTAGGGTGACCTTTTCTGCTACTATGGTACCATGCCAGATCGTTTGTTTAGTTACGTTTGTAGCTATTCAAGCTCTACATAATGATGCCTTCGAAACAGAGTTTTCGTCCTTCGACGAATTACTTCAGCGTCCAAACTTGGAAGATGTTGATTGCATTGAACTTAGGTGGAAGGATGGGATGCAGGAAAAGCCTATCTTTCCCTTAAAGTACTACAAATTTCTGGAACTTTGGAACCGGACATGGTTGGTAGTGGGGAACAGAAACACTCTCCGCCCCTATGCGCTGCGAATCGGCGGTGGAAATAAAATTGATGGTAAGAAACTTTTACCTGTTTCCCTTACTATTTTGCTTACAATTTTTACACAAGGTTCCCTTACATCCGCTATTCGAAACCACATCCTGAGCCATAATACAAAAACATTCGAAACCTCTTACCAAGCGAGGCATATTCCACACAATTTGATGTCATTCGTTTTCGATAGTACATCTGAAGACGAATCCAAGCTATTCAAGCTATTGGCCTCCGCATCCTTGCGTAGGGATGACAAAGCACCGCTTTATTCGACAGCGGCTACGCTAGAAACGTTTGAAAATCGCGAGGATATGAAAGCACTTCGCGCACAGCGTCGTCACTTCCGGGAAGAGCTCAAACTCTCTGCAGACGATAGAGAGGTAAAGCAACTTACCGCAAAAATTGGAGATCTACGGACGGTATTATCAAACTTGGCTGTCAAGCAGGCTCGAGAAAACTACTTCGCTGAAGTTGATTCCCTTAGGGCTCGTGGCCTGTCAACCGAAGATATGCCAGCCCCTCCTCCAAATCCTTTCAGATGCTCCTTCGGTCCCAGTTTACCTGCAGCAACAATCATTGGTCGATACTTGAACCCCAAAGATCCGGTTTCCAACACCGCTACGAAAATGGTTTTTCCAAATTCGAACGACAGTGGTTCTGACCAAACTACCCAAAAGCGGCTTGCAGTACCGAAAATGCTTTTTGCGTATCTGAATGATAGGTACGGAGAAGTAGAAGGTATTGCTCGGGAAATGGAGCAAACAGCCTCCGAACATAAGAAAGCAGCTTCTACGCTCTCCACATGTCTTCTCTGCCGACAAAGCTTCACTCGTCGAGATAACCTCAGTAGACACCATCGGAGCGTCCATTTCATGGCAACGACCTTTGAACCTTTCTCATGCCCCGAATGTCAGCGGCAAGGAAAGAAAGAGTATAGAATCGAGAGGGCATCGGAATGGAGTAACCATGTCGAAAGAGTACATGGTTCAATCAATACTCCGGATCTCTTCACCAAGCCTATCGTCAAACCCAAACCAATGGCTACAACTACCAAGTCTAAATCCGCTCCTTGTTTAAGATGCGGCCAATTGTTCTATGCAGGAAGCAGTTTTTCAAGACACATGAATAAGTATTACAAGATCGACAAGCCATTCGATTGTCCCAAATGTAAGGGAGAAGGGGAGAATATCCAGATTAATGACCTCGCTTCGTGGCTTACACATACGTCGGATGTTCACGGTTGTAATGGGCAAACAGGAGTTGTTATTGATAAGGAATGCCTACTAAACCAGGGACAGAAGAAGAGGAGAAGAGAAAACATAGTGGAGGAAGCTATAAAACGTACTAAATTAGAATCCCAAGTATATAGAATACAAACAAGAATGCTATCTCCGTCTCTCCCACCGAGATATCTCCTCCTGGAACCACGATTGCAACAACCGTGATCGCAACCAAGCCCGGCAACAATGGTGAGTCCTTCAATTACCTTGATGTTATCTTCATCTAATATCCTATGACTCATGTCATGGAAATGCTGGCAAAGCTTGCGAAGCTAATTCAGGTCGCAGACTCCGTTGGAACAGTTTAGCGTCTTCGTTTCTTGCCACTTTGGCATTTCCCAACGTGGTGAGAATCATTATCAAAGCAATATGCTAAGCCAGATCGATCACATGTGCTTTTCAGGCTATAAAGCTCGGAGACGGACACTCCTGGGAGTGGCCCATAGAGTCCTGAGTCGTAGCGCTATGTTGAAGAGTTTTATAGTTCGCCGTGTTGGCCAGCGCTGCTCTGACCTTTGTATGGTGCTTTGCTGCTTTGCTCTGATCTTGGTGTTGTTCACCCATCTTCATTCCTCCAGTCTTGCAAATCCACGATTCCCTGCCACACGTCAAACCCCGTATCCACGACATAATATCAACCATCTGGGACCCGAAAAGATCGACCGAAAGCTTGAGCACAAAGCGAGGCATTGTTGTTAGAGCCCTCCGCGCCTGCCAGAACATACGAGAAGGTTCTGTCACTTTTGACTGCTGCGAATACATTCTGCGTGATATTGCCATTGCGGACCCTCCAGCGTTGCTGTTGAGATGTACGACGACCAGGGGGACTCCCAATACGATAGGAAGCAATAGGGAGTAAACAATAAAGACTGAGGAGTAAACCAAGATTAATTCTTGCAGGAGGAAAGATTGTGAAAGGCTGACTCGAGGTGGAGTTGTCCTCCAAGCCTGCCTCTTAGGATGCAAGGCTGAGTAGCTTAACAACCGTCTCGTGCCTATTCTCTGCTGCCATATGCAGTGCTGTCCGTTTATACCGGTCCTGAACATTTGCGTCAACCTTGCCAGTATCGAGAAGCAGCTTAACAACCGCCTCATGCCCATACGTTGCCGCCGAATGCAGCGCTGTCCGTCCATCCTTATTCTTAGGATCTGCGTCAACCTTGCTAGTATCGAGAAGCAGCTTAACAACCGCCTCATGCCCATACGTTGCCGCCCAATGCAGCGCTGTCTGTCCATCCTGATCTTTAGCATCTGCGTCCACCTTGCCAGTATCGAGAAGCAGCTTAACAACCGCCTCATGCCCATTCCTCGCCGCCCAATGTAGCGCTGTCCATCCAAACCGGTCCTGAGCACTTGCGTTAACCTTGCCAGTATCGAGAAGTAGCTTAACAACCGCCTCATGCCCATTCCTCGCCGCCCAATGCAGCGCTGTCTGTCCATCCTGATCTTTAGCATCTGCGTCCACCTTGCCAGTATCGAGAAGCAGCTTAACAACCGCCTCATGCCCATTCCTCGCCGCCCAATGTAGCGCTGTCCATCCAAACCGGTCCTGAGCACTTGCGTTAACCTTGCCAGTATCGAGAAGTAGCTTAACAACCGCCTCATGCCCATACGTTGCCGCCGAATGCAGCGCTGTCAGTCCACCCTTATCCTTAGGATCTGCGTCAACCTTGCCAGTATCGAGAAGTAGCTTAACAACCGCCTCATGCCCATACGTTGCCGCCGAATGCAGCGCTGTCAGTCCACCCTTATCCTTAGGATCTGCGTCAACCTTGCCAGTATCGAGAAGCAGCTTAACAACCGCCTCATGCCCATTCTCTGCCGCCGAATGCAGCGCTGTCAGTCCACCCTTATCCTTAGGATCTGCGTCAACCTTGCCAGTATCGAGAAGCAGCTTAACAACCGCCTCATGCCCATTCTCTGCCGCTATATGCAGCGCTGTCCGTCCAACCATATCTCCAGGATCTGCGTCAACCTTGCCGGTATCGAGAAGCAGCTTAACAACCGCCTCATGCCCATTCCTCGCCGCCCAATGCAGCGCTGTACGTCCATCCTTATTCTTAGGATCTGCGTCAACCTTGCTAGTATCGAGAAGCAGCTTAACAACCGCCTCATGCCCATACGTTGCCGCCCAATGCAGCGCTGTCTGTCCATCCTGATCTTTAGCATCTGCGTCCACCTTGCCAGTATCGAGAAGTAGCTTAACAACCGCCTCATGCCCATACGTTGCCGCCGAATGCAGCGCTGTCCGTCCATCATTATTCTTAGGATCTGCGTTAACCTTGCCAGTATCGAGAAGCAGCTTAACAACTGCCTCATTCCCATTCTCTGCCGCCCTATGCAGCGATGTCCATCCAGCCCAATTTCGAGCATTTGCGTCAACCTTGCCAGTATCGAGAAGCAGCTTAACAACCGCCTCATGCCCCTTTCCTGCCGCTATATGCAGCGCTGTCCGTCCAACCTTATCCGTAGGATCTGCGTCAACCTTGCCAGTATCGAGAAGCAGCTTAACAACCGCCTCATGCCCATTCTCTGCCGCTATATGCAGCGCTGTCCGTCCAACCATATCTCCAGGATCTGCGTCAACCTTGCCAGTATCGAGAAGCAGCTTAACAACCGCCTCATGCCCATACATTGCCGCCGAATGCAGCGCTGTCCGTCCATCCTTATTCTTAGGATCTGCGTCAACCTTGCCAGTATCGAGAAGCAGCTTAACAACCGCCTCATGCCCATTCCTCGCCGCCCAATGTAGCGCTGTCCATCCAAACCGGTCCTGAGCACTTGCGTTAACCTTGCCAGTATCGAGAAGTAGCTTAACAACCGCCTCATGCCCATTCCTCGCCGCCATGTGCAGCGCTGTCTGTCCATCCCGGTCCTGAGCATCTGCGTCAACCTTGCCAGTATCGAGAAGCAGCTTAACAACCGCCTCCTGCCCATTCTCTGCTGCCATATGCAGCACTTTTTGTAGCTCCTTACTATGCAAGTCGACCTCGACGGTCTCGAAAAGTAGCTGAACGACTACCTCATTCCCAGTTATCGCCGCTCGGTGCAGCGCTATCTGTCCATTCTCATCCTTAGCATCTGCGTTAACCTTGCCAGTATCGCGAAGCATCTTAACGATCGCTTTATAACCTTTTTGCTCCGCAAGCCATAGCGCCGTCTGTAGCTCCTCCCTATGCAAGTTGACCTTGCCGGTGTCAAGAAGCAATTTTATGATCGTCTCATGCCCGTTTTCTGCCGCCAAGCATAAAAGCGTCCATTGGCCCTTGTCCTCAATAAGTTGATTTACCCTTGTTTCCTTTGCATCTTCCTTTTCTGAATCCTCGGGACCTAGGCAAGTCTTTTTTAGGTTGCTCATGCTCCTCAATACCCTCTCAAGAACCGCCGTTTCTTCCCGAAGATTCTTCACTGCAACTCCATACTGTTTCACCTCTTGTAATACCAATCTAACATTCCGTATCCTAGTCGCCGCCTTTAGACAATCTTCCCACCCCGTCTTTGAATGCTCTGGTACTAGAATGCTTGCAAAGTAGTCGTGGTTGTTTTTATCTTGCTGCTTGTCTGGATTTATATCCCAATCCCACTCAAGTCGAAAATCATGTGGAAAGACTGTTATCGATTGTAAAAGTTCTGACCACTTGATATCTTCGGTCGTAGCTTGTGAATCGCCTGCTGGGGAAACTGCAATTATTATAACCGCCCAGTGATCGTTGTATGGCCTGAGGATCGTAGGTCTCGACGCTCCTTGAAGAAGGCAGATGAGATCTCCTTTTTGGACGGATTTTACCGTGGTCGGGAGGGTCCAGCAAAAGCCCCATGCTTCCTTCACGCAAATATAGCTGGGGACATTTCTCCAAGTAATGGCCACATCTTGTCTGTCTTCCCAAATAGCATTTCTCTTGACCGAGGACACTTCGCCAAGAATGCAGCCCTTGCCCTCAATGACGGCATTCTCCTTATCGTCCGAAAGGCCATCTACAGAGACCAATTCAGATAGGAAGAAGTGGATGAGTTTGTTGAAGAGTTCTTTCCACGAAATCTCGTAGTCGGCGAATAATCCTGCTGCGGTTGGATTATCAGAGCTCATACCGAGTAAAGCATATACTTTATCGCGACGATTCGTAGCTTCGCGGGTGTGGTACATCTCTATCAGTTCACCCAGAGGGCGTATGTTAAGAGAAAAGTTGTCTGACTGATTGGTCGCGTATTTGGGCCGGAAGATTGCGCCCCTTATGAGGTAGGTTACCGAAAGGATTTGAGCTCGCAGGTCTGCGCGGAGTTCATTAAACAGTTTCAATGCATTTAGGCCTGAGCAGAATGCAAATCCGTCAATCTCAGCAGAACCACACTTGATCAGGATATGGCGAGCCGCGGCAACTTCCTGAAGCACCTGCATCCATCTGTTAGTTTCCTTAGTCATAATACTTTGATATTGGTTCCCTTACCCAGATGCGCCGAAACCACGGTCGTTGAAGCAGTGTAAGGATTCCCGCTTTATTGTCTAATCGTCTTGTAGACAGCTCAGCTGCGATGCGTATTTCTTCCTCGGCTGCGATGCGTATTTCTTCAAGCGCTTGGTCGCTACCGGCTGCCTTCTCTCCAAGCCAAACAACTACGCGACTTGCTTTAGCGTAGATCTTCGCCATAGATTGAACTTGGTGTCCTTTTTCTTCTTTGTCTCCTTGGTTGATACAAATGGCATCTATCCATATAGTTCGTTGAATGGAGTGATCTCGAAGATGTAACAGCGCTGCGTAAAGGTTTTTCCCGACGGCCAAGTTGCACCCGTTTATAAAGATAGAACAAGGCTTGTCCTCAGAGCCCCATACGTAAGATAAGGCCTCGTACGGACGAGTGCCTTTTGAGTCCAATGCGGTGCAGAAGAGCCGACAGTGTATTGCGGCGTCCTCGTTTTCATGTGGCAATAGTTGAAGCAAGCGAATATGGCTACGTGATATGGGAAAGTTGTAATACAGATTCTTTACAGGTGTTAGCGTTATTCTGAAATGTCATAGGGGGAAAAGAAATAAGCCTACTTCCACTTGCTTCGGCCTTTTGTTATCCACGCAAACCAATTTAGATAGGAAGAAGTGGATGAGTTTGTTAAAGAGTTGTTTCCACGAAATCTTGTAGCCGGCGGACGTCTCTGTATTGGCGGAACTGGTAGTTGGAGCGGCTGGGAGCTGGGGAGCGGGCATACGGGTAGCGGACATGGCGGTGGCGGCGGGGATTTGTTGCAGAGGTGCAGGGCGAGACTGCTCTTGGCCCTTATCGTCTTCCCAACCCTCTATATTGTGCAGTCGTTGAGACATCGTAGCTTTAGGGAACGAAAGTCTTAAGCGAGGTGATGTAGATAAGGCACTTGAGGATGATCGTGTTGTCCTGGAGGCAGCGAATGCTATACAGTTGATGATCAATGGATCGAGTTTGTAAAAATGCTAGATATTCCTCTATCCTGCCCCCAAGGACAAAATAAAAAGAAACTAGAGCACTATGTTTTCTCAAGGCTATGGTGGAGCATGAGGCGTCGTGTTGAGTCTGTTTCTGTTTCACCATGTCAGGCATAAGATGGCTGGCGGCTCCCTCCCAACTACACGCCAATAGCCTAAAGGACATTTCTTTTCTAAAGGCTAGGCATTCTGGACCTAGAGACTTCAGGGCACCAATTAATAACTTGACTTGGGCAAGGGTCATAGCTTTCTGTCATGGGGTCTACAGGGTTGGCAATAGTGTACCAGTAGTGGCCTGGTAGCTTGCACCACTTATGGAAACGTGGCGCGGGTAGGGCTGTAAATCTGAGTGGAACCTGCAAATCTGCAAATTGCAGTAGAGCCTAGGCTGCTAGTGCTGTCAACAACCAAGCCGTTGCGATAACTAGTGTCCTTAAGCAGACAATGCATTGATGCCTTACTTTTCATTTCCTTTGGGACCTATGGGCGCATGGAACCGACGCCAAGCGGCGATCGCACTGACAGTAAGACATAAAGCAGCTGTTCATACTGCCAAAGAAATGCTTTCGTTGAAGTCCAAGATTCAGCTACCGGAAGAGGAGCTTGTACGGCCGCGACTGAGAATTGTGCTAGTATACCCATACCGCGGATATTGCGCTTTGACAAACGTTAACGGGGCTAGCCGCAGTGTCAGGACGGTCAACTTTTCTCGTAATCCGCCCAATTATATTAATCTTTTAAGCGCCGGCTCCTCACTTACTGTAATGCCTCCGTCCGAACGATATGGATATGGGAGGTGGTTGTTCAGTTTTTTGACCCTACCACGTGATTAAAAGACCCGGTTCATATCCTTCCGACTCCGATAGATAAGCTACCATATCGCCTGACTAGTAGTTGGGTCGGTGACGACCAGCGAATCCCAGGTGTTGTATGTCTTTCTTTTTGCATTTCCTTTCTTTTTCCCACCCTGTTCGACTTCCTCTTCTTTTTTCGGTCAACATCGGCATTCTGGAGATCTTTCGGTGAGAACCAAGTATGAAGATGGCTAAGACATGTTCCCCCATCTCCGAGATTGAAGACCCCGTCCTTAAAAGGCTCCATGAGCGGCACGGCGACGGAGCGGAGCGGTGATAATATCGCCAACTCAACGTCTCGTCACACCTTCTCTCTACTCTACCTTTACGCAAACCAAAGTCAAAAGTGTGCCGTGCCAGTGATTGGATCGAGGGTGAGGGGGCTTTAGGGAACGGTGACGTGCATTTGCTGCGGGTTAGTATTGAGACGGAAAGACTTGGCGAAACGTTAAATCGATGTGCAACTTGGTTGAGACGGGATGGAACTACCGACGTCAGTTGACTACCTACCTACAACTTGGTGAACTCAGTTTGAAGGAGATTTGAAAGTTGGAACCGTCCTGCTTCAACAAAGGGGCGTTTTCTTTGCTATTAACGTACAGCTACGTAAATACTTGTACATATGTACATGGCATTTTGGGTTTGTTGCACATCACTGCGCTGCAGTGTCGAGCATCGAGGAGGTATCAAGTGGAAAGGAAGCTTCTGGTGTTGAAGAGGCAGCAGAATCCCCCATTCTCTCTACTCCCATCACGTCATTCGACTTTATTTCCATTCAGCTTCCACGCCTTCCCGTCGACAACCGGCCAAACTTTGCAAACTTCATTGATTGAACATTCCCCCACCTCCACCCTGGCCCGCTGCCCACTGCCCGCTCGGCCCCTCCTCTCCCGGGCCAGTCACCACCTCGGGGATACCGCCGGCGATAAGATTCCCCGCGTGAACTTTGCACCATTCACCACCAACTTCCACAATGCACCAGGCTTCTTCGGCAGCTGCAAGTTTGGCGGCGTGGTTGGTGATTGGGTTACAGTGAGAGACGGAACATTTCCAATCTTTCTTTGACTTCAATCGACATGCTGCCAAGTAATAAAAAGACAGACGGGACGCCAACCAACGATCTCAGCGTCCATTGCATGCCGCATTGCTGCTGCTGTCCCACTGCAATGCCGAGTTTCGTCCCGTTCAGGTTGTTTCGGTCTTCAATATCTCACCTCATATCATCACTTTTTCCTTCTTTTTTTCTGATACCACAGGACCAAAAGACGGGTTTCGGGTTGTTCAAACAATATCTCGGTCGCCGCTTACTTACAACCGCCATTCCAAGTGCGAAGCCAGGACGGCAGGCCGTTAGTAGTGAAAGCCGCAGGCGACTCGGGCGAGGCACATGACACCTCTAACAATGTGGGCACCCCTTCGCCGATTCAGACAGCAGACACCAACGTTCGATATTTCCTATTTCCGAACATCTTTTACATACCGACAATCCATCGTCTCCTTTTGTCCTTTGGGATGAATGAGGCGGCGGCGAAACCGACGGGCTTCTTTTCCTATCTCCTATCTACCCTCTGCCCTCTCGGTCCCGTTATCCATCAACCGGCAAGTACGGATGATGTTGCTCTTCACGCCCTTCTCCAACTTCTCCTCGGTCAGTTTTGGGAAGTTCCAACCGCTGATCTTTACAACAATCACCCTTGTATCGATTACATCAATCATGGTTGGTACCCGCACGCACACCTTCAATGACGAAGAATGGCAATGACCATCCACTCGAACGGACGGCACGTTGGTGCAGTTGGGCCCTTTTTTGTCTTCTCTCATCCTCGTCCTCGTCCTCATTCTCGTTGTCTTTTGTATCTGATTGCTTTTCTTGGATCGGCTCACAGATTGACTGATTACTGTACCCAACCCAAATGGACGAACTAACCGGGCACCTGTGAACTGAACTGAACTGAACTGAACTTATCCCCTGGAAAAAGGCATTCCCAGCAGCATGGTTCCCCAGCATTTTTAGCTTGTGCGAAAATGGTAATTGATAATGTGTCTTTATACTGCCGTATGTCCGTATGTACGGTGTGTAAAGCGCGGTGTGAGGAAACACAAAAGCCCAAAAGGAAACTTGACAGAAGCATTATCCTCGATTATCAATCATAAAATGGAGCCCAGTCATGGTTAGTCAGGCACACCACCTTCCATGGATGCTTCGATAAAACTGTAAGTAGCCCATTCCCACTTGGGATGTAACGATCGATGAATTAGGGAAAGAGGATGGATTTAATACTATTTAGTTGATAGTGCCCAAAAACTTAAACCCGGGGAAACCATCCCCGGGCCGTCCCCGTCCCCCCTCCTTTCTGCAACTGAAAGAAAAGCGGTAGTTGGCTCGCTGTTTCCTTTTTTCTTCTTGTTCATGATTTTTCCTCATTCCGTTCCTACATATACGCCTACCTTTTTTTCATCCTTCAGCTTTCACAGAACCAACTGCCATCCCGAAACTTCTCCGACGGTGTGTTGGAGAAAACGAAGAAGTCGTCTTTAATCCTCTAATTCGGTGTCATCTCATTCCAAATAGAAGTTCTAGGAAAATCTAATCGCCACCCCATAACGACACCTCACTCTTTGGTATAGAACGCAGAAATCAACGGAAGCAGAACTTAACAAGCATCACAACAACCAACAAACTACCGATCGGACCGACTGCCAGTTAGTTGGTCACAGTATTTTCAGTATCTTAAGGGCTTGGGAGATTCTACCGGCGAATGTCGACCTACTGAACAACCCAAGGCCCATCTCACCGGTTGACATCTGATAACCCAGAAAAGGGGGGATAGTAAGCGACAAAACGACGACACATACTCCCCGACGACAGACTGACTAACGCCAACCTCGAAGCGGGTCAAGTCACCCTTCTCAACCTCACCTCAACTGTCACCGACCCGTTGATCTTTCAGAAGACTAGTCGAAGAAGCAAAACACGATGAACGAACTAGAAAAGGTGGAAAACCACCATGCCACTCACGACGTAGATATCGAAAAGGGTCAGTTCAGCGGTAGCCATGGAACAAGCGGTTCAACCACGCCTCAGGTCGCCCACTCCGCGACAGCACAAAACGCGAAGGAGAAAGACCTCGATTCCGCGTCATCATCCCAAATAGAAGACGACATCGGTTTCGCGCCCATCTCAACCCGCAAATCGCAGTCCCAGCACCAACCCCGACCCATGAGCCGGCAAAGTCACAACAGTGCCACCCTCAGCCACATCTCGCGCTCTCGCTCCAACAACGGCTTCGGCGTAGACGACCTAGACGATGAAGCCGAGATGGAGGAAGAAGCTGACCAAGAGGCAGCAGCCCGCCAAGGCGCCGGCGAGACGGTGGACGAAGAGAAGCGTTTCGAGGTCGGCTGGGAAGGAGGCGACTCGGACCCTTTGAACCCGCGGAGCATGCCGACCTGGCGGAAGTGGATCATCATCGCGGTGCTGAGCATCGGCTCCTTCGCCGTGACGCACGCCTCGGCCATCTACACGTCCACGTACACGCAGATGAACGCCGAGTTCCACTGCAGTCGCGAAGTAGCGACGCTTGGGCTCTCGTTCTTCGTGCTGGGCATCGCGCTGGGTCCGTTCTGGTCGCCGTTGGCCGAGTTCTACGGCCGGAGGCCCATCTATATTTGCTCGTTTGTTGGATTTCTGATCTGGTTGATCCCTAGTGCGGTGGCCAAGAACATCCAGACCATGCTTATTGCGAGGTTCTTTCAGGGCCTGGCGGGTGCTGCCTTTTTGAGCGTGTCGGGTGGCACGGTGGGTGATTTGTTCACTAGGGATAAGTTCCAGTTGCCCATGGCCATCTTTGCGTTGTCGCCGTTTATTGGACCGGCGACGGGGCCGTTGGTGGGAGGACTGATCAACACCTTCACGACCTGGAGGTGGACGTATTATTTCTTGATCATTTGGGCCGGAGTGTTGCTGGCTTGTGTTGTGGTGCTGGTGCCGGAAACATATCGTACGTCTTTTCCATTCCCTTTAAAGCATTTATCGAAACTTCCAGGGCCCGGAAAACCGTTTCTGAGGTACATTTCTGGCTTTGCGGTTGAGATGAGAACATAAAGGTCTGCATGACGAAGCAGAAAAAGAAAACCGGGCCCTGAGAAAGTAGCCGAGACAAAGAAACTGAAAGAAGGAAAAAGTAAACAAACCCCCTGACTTACATACTTACTGACCATCCCCTTTTTCTCCACACAGACCCCATCCTCCTAAAGCGCAAGGCCGCTAACCTCCGGAAGACCACCGGCGACAACCGCTACCACGCCCCCATCGAGCGCAACACCAAGTCCGTCGCCTCCACCCTTGGCAACGCCCTCCTGCGACCGTTTCAGCTACTCATGCTTGAGCCCATGATTCTCATGTTGGATCTCTACTCCGCGGTTCTCCTGGGCGTTTTGTATCTTTTCTTCGGCGCATTCCCCCTCGTCTTCCGCACCAACTACGGCTTCAATCTCTGGCAGGTCGGACTCACCTTCATAGGCCTCGGCGTGTCCATGGTCCTGGCCGCCTTCATCACTCCCGTCTGGACGCGCATTAGAAATGGCCTGGCCGAGAAGCGATTCAAGAAGACTGGGATCATGAAGGGCGAGCCTGAGGACCAGCTGCCGCCCGTGATTGTTGGTGCCCCGCTCATCACGGGCGGTCTGTTCATGTTCGGGTTTAGCACGTATCCGTGGGTGCATTGGATCGTGCCTATCATTGGGTCGTCAATCTTTGGTCTGGGGTAAGTACATACTTGTGTTTCCTATTTTGCTGTGTTTGGCTTGGTTTACCCCGTCGTCCATCATCATTGCTCTTGCCCCTGAGTGAAGTCCAGGATCAAAGGGGTTTGAGGTGCAGTGAGAGAGAGTTGGCTTCACGGTTTCTGCCCAAAAGGCGGAGAAGATTCTCCGCCTGCGTGCGTGTTTGAGAGAGAGACAGTGGAGAAAGAGAAAGGCAAAGAAGGGTGTGGGGGGCAAGTCCGAGAGACATGGCGCGTAGGATGGTGCGTCAACTGACACCCACCCTCAGCCTCCTTTCCCTAGGTTCACTGACTAAGCTTGCTCATGGCCTGGGGTAGAAGTGGTTGGGGAGTACGTGGACGGCGTAGTAGTCCTGCTACCGAACCGATTGCCGCAGAAACCGACCGAGAACTTCTCGGACTCTGCGTTCTGTGTTCTGGCTCTCTCCCCCGTCTCTCTGTCTCTGCCTCTCCGTCTTTCTCCGAGGCCCAAGGTCTTAGTCATGGCTTGGTCAAAGTTGATGCTGAAAAAGGGAAATGGGGCTGGCTACCTTCTTGCCCTCGTCTCTTCCAGGACCTGGTTTAAGGCTTGCGCTCTTCTCTCTTTTCTCCATTTTCCACTTGGCTCCTTTCTTTTTCCCTCCCGCCCCGGTTGTTGTTTAACTCGCGTCTGCAAGGTTCCATGATGTCGCTAACCGGTCCTGACTTGTCTTGCATATAGCATGTCGTTCGCCTTCACCGGCATCTTCACGTTCTTGGTAAGTGCGGTTACGCTCCCTTTCCCAACCCCAAAAACAGGCCCGAACCCAAGAAACGCCTCTTGTGTGGGGGAAATATCAAAATGAGGAAGAATGTCAGCATCATCCATCATGTCATGTCATATCAAAACATGATGTTGTGATCATTACTGAATGGGGTTGATACTTTGCCTCTCATTTTGACTTTCCCCTCCCGTGACCTCATGCCTGACCTCTCCTTGCTCACTTGAATGGCCAAGGTGAGGAAGGGTTGTGTGAGTGTCAGTTAAGGGAAGGAGAATAAAAAGAAGGGGTGGGGAGTACAAAACGACAACTATCCTGCCGTGTACGCACACCATACACGCAGAGATATGGAGAGTCATTGGAGGCATCGGATTGGACATAAAGCGAAAGCAAAGATTGGAGAAAGTAGCAGTGCTGACAAGAAGGCGTTTCGTATACAGGTTGACGCATACCCGCGATACGCAGCGAGTGCCTTAGCCACAAATGCTCTTGTGCGATGTTCGTTTGCAGGTAAGTCTTAAGTTAACATGGACCCCGGTGTATGTGTCGTTTATGCAGCGTTGGGGGTGTCGGTGTGTGTCTTGGTGACACCGGCCCAGCAGCGCCCAGGACATGCATCTGCCGCTCTTCCTTTCAGCTGGATTTTCCGGGTTCAAACCGCCATGACACCTTGTGTCTTGTGCTTTGTTTCTCGACATGGGCTTTTGTGCTGACTTTTTGACACCTGAATACAGCTGCCTTCCCATTGTTTGGAATTCAAATGTACGATAAGCTGGGCTTCCAGTGGGCCACGGCCCTCCTCGCCTTCCTAACCCTGGGGATGATGCCTTTCCCGTACATCTTCTTCGTGTTTGGCAAGAGGATACGGGCCAAAAGCAGATTTGCAGCCCGCTCGTAAGATGAGTGGGGAGAAAAACGCATAGGCTTTGAGAGTTGCGAGTGGCTGGATAAACTCTCACCGGAGATGTTTCTCCTTTTTCTTCTTTTTTCAGAGACACCATTGACCGACATATGGGACCTTCCGTCCCTCCCGCACTAAGACAAGTTATAATTGCAACAAACAGGAGGAAATAAGCAAGGAGTGCCATGTGTCGCTGTCTAAGGCAGTGAATGGTTGGCATTTAGAGCACCACAACAACGCAGCAAAGCAGATTACAAGCATAATCTGCATGTCGTCTGAGACATTGGCATAGAATAGGAATGGTAATGGTAATGAGATAGACGGTGAAATGATGCCAAGGTGGAATGGCAAAGACGATAGAAAAGCAAAAGGCGATAATGGATCAGGGCTGTTGCCTGGGAAAACTGCATGCTGCGTGCCCACGACCCTTTGGAGTGTTGTCAATGACTCGACTAAATCATGATAGAATTGCAACGAGGCGATTCCGGCCATGGCCAGATCATGTTTTAATTTTCGATCTCAACCAGCAAGACAGATCATCTTCCCACTTGGAAGAAGGAGGGTGGCATCATGATCTGATATCTATGAATGCGTAATGATCGTCTCCCTAACTTGTTTTTGTTGTAAATATGGGGTCATCTGTTCCAGTCTCGCCGTCCATGACCTACTGAATACGTGTCTGTTTGAGGTATGGAGTGGGGGACCGGGAGGTGCTTGTGTAGTGGGATGATTGTAGCCACTCGGCAGATTCTGACAACAGACTCGCAAGAGCATGACCAAGGTGTACGGCGGCTTCACCATGGCCACGGCTGAGGTGACCGGGACCGAGGCCGAAGATCTGAGGTTGCATTGATGCCCAACATCGGTCTGCCATGGACGGTGAAGGGGGTCATGTAGGTACCCCTTACGGCCCGCATGCCTACAGAGTCAGTTGAAGATATTGAAGGGCATGTCGTAGACGGCGATTGCCGAGAGGGGGGCTTGAAGCTGTGTCGTAGGCGCTCTGTACAATCTGCAGGACGATGCTTCGGGTAGTAGATATGCCGGGCGTTTTCATCCGCTGATGCACCCTTCAACAACGTGACCACCCACCATCAAGGCAATGATAATGTCCCATCTCGAGTGAAAGCCAAAAGACTGGATGACGAGGGGCTGTGTTTATCAGGATGTGTCCTTTTGACTTGCGGTCCGGAAACCCGTGTATAGTGCCAGTATGATGCCCATAAGCAATGGTATTTTTCATGGTCATCCCCAGTAGATCGACGTACTTGGTATAGTGACTTCACCCTAGGCTTGTGTCTCGGCCACATATTTCCTTTGCTGTCCTGTCATTGGCCTTGTTCACCCTGTAGTGACGACTGCGGTGATGGCCTGCCCAGGCGGCTGTCGTCACGCTCGAGTGTGGGAACTAGCAGTTGTGTTGTGAACTGGAGGTTGTCACTGGCTAGTCAATGCAAGTGGGAGTCCACCATGAGCAAGACGAAGTGTAAATAGTGTTACATGGCGGTTTTAGTTCGTCTCATCGAGGGTTCCCATTGCATAAAATCCCAAGGGGTGAGCAAGCATCGGTCAACCAGTCGTGATAACTACAGCCCTGTCATCCTAGATTCATGTGGTGCGCGTACGGAAGACGACAGGATGCCTGCTAGACCAGGGGCAAGCGTTTGGAGTGTAAGAGAGGCAGGTAGATACTTGAATGGTGTTGCTATGGCGGCATCAAGACCAGAAGCAACACCAGGTGGGTTACCCAGGCATGTAGGAAGACTAAAGGAGGCACGGTGGACCTCAGTTCCAACCAACCTCCACACCGATCAGCGATTTTGGACCGCACAACAGGCGCCACGGCTAGGCTGATTGTGGATAAGAGTGAAGATATTGTCTCGGACACCGCAAAGTCCACCGGACAAGGACTAGTCTTGTTGAACGGGTTGACGCAATCCGCGCGAGCCGCCGGAACACTGCTGAATGGTGCGTCTCAGGTTCGACAGATTGCTAGGGTTGGCCTATGGAAATAACTCCCAGTTCATGCTGGGCGAGGCGAGATGAAGTCGGTGAGGTAAACAAGGTCTGAGGCGACTGGAGGGAGTTATAAGGCCATGTTGGAAGTGGCAGTTGTACCATATGATAACGGGAGATGCCGTGTTTATAACAAGGAATATCTCGTAACGCTCCAGATTTCAGGCCTGGTGTTATGAAGCGGTGTGATTTTAAGGTAGAGGCAAGGCTAGAGAGTGTTGTTTGTTGCTGACATCTCGTAATTGTGTAAGTGTCCGAGGTTTGGTGGTAGTGGTGGTGCTGGTGGTGGTGATGGTGGTGGTGTTTTCCAAAACACACCTTTAGCTTTCAGGTCGTATAGACCGTATAGGCATGCGTACTGTGTAGTATCGAGCAGCGAATGTTGGCAGGGAGTGTTGTACGTTCAGCCTCAATGACATTGTCTAGACTGACGTGAGTGGAATAAGACTGTTGGAGTTTCGTTGCTTGTTCCTGACGATGCATGGAGTCTGATGAATCCTGGAGCCGATCAAGGCGGATCATGCCAGCTGATCTCGGGGCGCCACATGGCCATGGACAATCGTGGTTCGTCAATCGCCACCGTCTAGGGCCCTGGCCGTTCCCGGCTCAACTGAAGCATCTGCCCACAAGACGGCCCATGGATGCATCCCGTCCTTCCGTCCTGTCACTAACAAGATGCGCCGCCAACCGCCATCGTGGCCGTTGTTGAGATTGCGGTATCGATAGCCTCAAGGAGAATGAGTTGATCTCGAACGATTCCAAGGGAGTGTCGAGCTGGAAGCCAGGTTGAAGGAGACCAGATTGGGGCAATGCTCCGTTCACCGTTGCGCTGTGGTGTTTTCCAGGTTGTTTAAATTCAGTTTGTGTTCCTTACAAGTAGTTGTAATCTGATAAGATAACGGAAACCTTTGGCCAAGCGCTGGACGGGATGGGCCAGCAACTGGACAGACGGAAGTCGGGATTCGGGAGACGGGAGGAGGGGACCTGACCAGGAGAAAAGATTCCACTTTGTGGCCCGCGCGGTTCCTTTGGTGCAGTGACATTGCAACATTGGCAGCGTCATCATCATGAAAAAAAAAATAGAAAAATATGCTAGCGAGTGGACCCAAGGACGACTGGAGTCTGGACTGAAAGATTGTACGGGTATCAACAGGAACCGAAAAAATGGCAAGTACCACAGTTCACAGTCCACGGATGCTGTCTGAGATTTGTACCTTCCACTGTTGTGAGATCTGGGATGCCAAAGTGGAATCCGAAAAGTGACGGTGCCTGAGCAGAGGTGCGGATCACTGATGGACGCCTGCACTGCACAATCATCTTCAGCCCAATGCAGGCAGGCAGCATGGGGCCAGGGGGACAGTGGGAAGGAGACTGTCACTGTGGAGCCTGGAGAAGAACCTTGACGACCAGACGACTTAGTTTGATTTGGAAAAGCACGGACCACCCGTCTCTAGGTTAACATCCACATGCAAATGGTGCAAAGGTGTGAATGACTCGGGTCGGGTGTTGTTTCGAGTACCGAGTACCCGGATGGGGGGAGCAGTTTCTCGTCCAGCCAAGTACCGGCTACAAGCCCAGCCGTTTGGATGTACCGAGCCCACCGACACTTGCACGCGAGCAACTTCTCTTTCTTTGACACTTCCACATCTCCCGTGGCCCGCGTTCCTGCCCGCCAATTCAAAGGGAACCAAGGGAAGTTCGACATCGATTGCTGATCGCCCCTTCCCCTTGCTCCGTCCACACTCGTTGGCGGCACAAGAAAGGGCCTCGGTTTTTGCTTCTTGCCCAGCAAAACCCCGCAGCAGCAACTGGGAGCAGCAAGCCAGAGGGCCTGACAGTTGACTTCCTTGACTGCGCCCCTCCTTCAAGGCTGGCCGCGCGCGCTGGTTGTGACCCCCCTCCCCCCTTGTCCGTCGCAGTCGCAAGTCGCAATCGCAGTCGCAGTCATCGTCGTCGTCCAACAACCTTGAGCGCTGCAAAACTCGGCAAACCTCATTGGATCTTCATACCGGATATCCTCGACCTCACTTCCCAGACAACCGCAACGCCACAAACCACACCCCCAGTGCCATGTCAAAACATAGTCTCGGGAATGGCACCAGCACAATACCACCACTACCTCTACGTCTACCTCTAGTATCTTCACGGACGCATATTACTTCTTCGACAACGACAACTGAGACTAGCCGCCATTTGTCCTGTCATTGGCGCCAGAGACATCAAAGACATCAGAGACATCAGGGACACCCCGCCACACCGAGCCCTCCTCGACACCACACTCGTCGCAGGAGCCGTTGTTGTTTCCGTCACCACCTCTTCGAACAACACCACTTGTCGCCCGTTCGCAAACTTACTTCTTTTTTTACCGCCCGCCCATACCACACCACCAATCCCTAGCTCAGCGCACTGCTTCTCCCGCCTTTCCAAGCTAGAGGTACTCGCTAGACTTCAAGTGCTGAAATCTAAGCCGTCAACGGTCCGCCCACGGTCGACCACGAGGTGGACAAGGGAGTGCCACGCGCAAATCCTTAGTAGGAAAATTACCGGGCGGATATCGAGAAATTAGACGCGCCACATCACCATACCCGTGTCGACACTGTAATTGCTGGGGCTAGGTTGGATTTGGTCTGCAAAGTGCGAATTCTCAAGGGAAACCGACAAGAAACGGACAACCAGGAGCTTCGGAGCCGACACCATACATCTTGCCCTGGAAACTACCGACATAACACACATACCAAGTACTTCGCACCCACGTACAGACGCTTATACGCCACCACGTTGGAGTCTGGAGGGCCCTGGAAGCAGTTCTAGGTTAGCCCCGATTCACGTCGAGACCCATCTTCCCTTGGATTGGCTACCACTTACACGCATCTTCTCTCTCACGAACCGTCATTGAGAGGGCTGCTGTTAGGCGGCGCCAAGTGCATACAAGCATAAAGAACGGGTAGCTGCAGTGGGATACAGTCGACTACCCTTGTCTCACCATCGCCATAGCAACTTCTGCTCCTCAACCTCCAAGGGAACCACAACCGCCCCGTCAGAAGGAAGGGTGCTTTATCCGCTGCCGCGTGACTGCCACCAGGAGGACGAGAGGGGACTAGTGTGGGGAGGAAGAAGGAGACACTCCTGCGAGACACTCCACCGTGTATAGTTGACGAGGTACTTGGCCAACTCGCCCAGCCCGTTGCACAGAGAAACGCCTCTGTAGAGCCGGCCCAGAGCCCATTGGCCGTTCTGCTGGAGCGGACAGCAAGTCCAGTGATAATACGAGACGGCGTGCTGGTCATTGTGTATCAGGCCTCGTCAGCTGGAGAGCAGTCATTTGTCGACGAGTCCATCGTCAACACGTCCCAGACTATATTGCGGAAGCCCACAGTCCCGGCAC